TATATGTATAGGTATAACAATAATTATATTTTTATATAATTAAATATATATTATTCATATATTGCACAAGTATATTATATGATTTGATCATCATTAATAATTTATTAATTAAATATTACTTATTAATTAATTATTAATTATTATTTTTAATATTAATTATCAATACCACTAAATAAATAAAAAATAGATTGATAAAAAATATACATATTAATAGTATATCGGTATATGATTACTATTCATGCTACAGCGCAATGCATACAAATGCAAGTTATAAAATTTTTTTTTAACATTTCTCGACGTTTTGAAGGTTTCTGAACATTTTGGCATATCTCAGAAAAAATGGATGTGTGTGTGTGTATGTATGTATGGATACAATTTTTCGTCCACGTTTTCGGGCGCACGGATCAACCGATTTGAATGGTTCAAAAAACATTCGATTCCTATTGTCCAGCCGTTTCGGAGATACGGAGCAAAGAGTGCAGAAAATAGAAATCGACTTTTTGAGAGATTGGAGCATCCGATTTGAATGATCCAAAAAATATTGAATTCGTAATGACGGGGAGAAGGAGTGATTAGTTTTTGGCAAAGGCAGGTTCAGCAGTTTCGGAGATACAGAGCTAAATGTGCAAAAAATGGCAGTTTTTGAGAGAACTAAGCGTCCGATTTGAATGATTCAAAGAACTTTCTGCTTGTTTCAACAAAATAATTGCTTGTAGAAAAAACAATTTTTTTTTGTTTTCAAAAAAATTTTTTTTTTCAAAAAAATTTTTTTTTGTATATAGAAAATAATTCTAATTTTAAGTGTAATTTTGACTTAAGTTCTAATATACTTTAAACAAATATTTTCAACTTTGCAGTTCAGTTTATATAATTCATATAAATATTAGACAATGTTACAGTATTTATTTATAATAATCTATTTGAAAACATTTAATATTCCTCGAACATTTCGTTACGGTGCGGGAAGTTCCAGAAATATGCCTTAAGGCACGATGCCATACACACCACTAGTTTTTCGAAGCAATTGCGTAAGCGCCGCGTTGCAATTTTAACGTTTTTTTTACTTTGTATACAAGTAAGTACATTAGTCATATACAGTTTATAGGTTAACTTTACTTTACAATTTTATTTTATTAGATTGTATATAATTATATAGCGCACCATATATTTTTTTTTTGTCAATAATGTTATAAAAGTAGTTAGGAGGGAAGATGCCTACCCTTTTCCCATTTTTTACACTCCATATTATGGTGTGTATTATACACTCTTTACTGTTAAACATTATAAATCTTGGTATAATTTTTATCAAATTTACATATATATAAACATTGAGTTGCCTATTAGTAAAGGTCAAGTAGTTAAGAAGTATCATCACAATAGCTCATAGGACTCTTAAACTCTGATTGTTATTCAGCAAGTAAAAAAATGGAATCAAAATCATTATATATGAATAATATCGGAAAATAAGAGCAGTAATATAAAGTGATATTTAACTGTACACTATCAGAGTCGATTAATATTATTAACTTCCCGTAGGGCAAGTTATAGTAATCGCAAAAAAATCGAAAATGAAAATTTTTATATATCTTTACGTTCCAGAGGTTTCTGAATATTTTGGCATACCTTAGAAAAAAATGGATGTATGTGTGTGTATGTATGTGTGTGCGTGTGTGTGTGTGTGCAGATACAAATTTTCGTCGACGATTTCGGGAACACCGATCAACTGATTTAAATAATTCAAAAAGCATTCGATTCGTACTGATAAAGAGACGTGTTGATTAGTTTTTGGCGAAGGCAGGTCTAGCGGTTCCAAAGATACGGGGCAAAAGTGCCAAAAATGGTAACTTAGTTTTTAAGAGAACGGAGCGTCCGATTTTAATAATTCTAAAAACATTTTACTTGTATTGACAAGATAAAAAATTGATCAAATTTTCATGAAGGCAGGTCTAGCGGTTTCGGAGAACTAATGAAAAAAGTAAAAAAAAAGCCATTTGGCGGTCAAAAATGATCATTAGACATCAAATTATCAGATATTTTATAGAGATTTTAACAATAAGTATAAATTTTGTTTACATTCCTATGGGTTCCGTACCAATGTTTATCCATTAGACGGGGAGGCGGCGCTTACGCGCTTTGACATCTCGTCTCTATGCAGTTAAAGCAGTACGATTGCTTTTCAAAAAAAGTTCAGAATTTCCAAAATATGTCGAAATAAAGAACACGTTTTTTTTTCATTTTTTTTAAAAAAAAGCAATTTTTTGCCAATTTTTTAGTTTCTCAAAAATCTAATTTTTTCGAAGTATTTTTTTTTCAAAAATGTTAATCGATTTTAAAAAAATAATAATTTTTGGTACGGAAAGTTCCAGCAATTTGCCTTAAGGCACGATGCCATGGGTCCCACTAGTTTTTTTTCTAAAGTACGAAAATCTTAAAATTTAAAGAAATGCATTAATTATCTTTTCAAATGTTTTCGTATTTTTTCGTTCAAAAAATTAGATTTGTTAATGTGCTTTAAGGCACAATATATACTAGTTTGCGTTGCTCTATTTTTGTTAATATGTCATAATACACAAAGGGTATTTTTACCTTAACTTTCGAATCATATATGACTAAAATAAGAATAAAAAAGGAACTGTCACCGTGGGCCAAATACAATAAAAATTTCTGTAATGTTCTATCGGCACCATATAAGTCCATATGGTCATAACGGCTACTTTTTTATTTTTAATTTAAATAAACAATCAAAAATAAAATATTTATTTATAAGTTCATGTTTTTCTTTTTATTATTAATTATCTATACTGTTGAATATATTTTTATTTCAACCAATATGCCTAGCTGTTACATTTAATTGAAAATATTTTATACAAAATTAATATTATAAATAAAATTACTAATGTTTTGACGAGATTACTTTGATTTTTTATAACTGTGTATAAGACTAACATCTAGTTCTAAATTCGTAATATCTTATATGATTTAAAAATATAAATAACGTAATTACTGATCCCTTGCAGGTTAAAATTATTTCCTTAATTTTAACTATCTAAACAAAAATGATTCAACGATGCATGGTTGCATTGTATATGAAACTCGTCACTATCACCATGCCAACTAATTCAAAAACATAAGCCTCTGTCACATGGATGTCATTAGATCGTTTCGCGTCCCAGTTGCTTGTCATTATATATCTTATCAAATAGTGAAATATAATTTTTGTAAATAATTTTATCGAAATACTCTACTGACAGAATAATTTGGCAAAATGGATAATTATAGCGGACGCTGGCAGGATGGAAGCAGGCCAGTTTCTAGAAGGTGCCGTTATAACTAATAAATAATAAATTATTTAAATTATTGATTGATTATTAGAAAATAATAATGTTTCTTCAATTTAATAGTGATAGATTAAAAATATTATTAGTACATATTCTTGTATAATGTAAAATTTTTATACAGCGCTTGATAAATTATGTTTTAAATGTAATATTACTGGCATTTTTAAATATTACCAGTTTAGTTTAGTTAATGTATACTAAAACTTTATTTAAATTGCAGTTTCTTTTAATATTATAAATCTTTGCGTATTTTTTTTTAATACCTTGTGTTGTTTATGATGATCTCTTCAAAGCAGTTAATGAATAAAATCATTTTAAATATTGTATTCGATAATGACTCTTTCGACAAATTGGCTCTACATTTGCATATGCGAGTAGTATATTATTATTATTATTATTATTATTATTATTATTATTATTATTATTATTATTATTATTATTACTCTTAAGTTTATTAAGGGGTTAGGGGTACTTGGTGGTACGAAAAAATGAGAATTTTCAGTATTGTTTTTTTTGTTATTAAACGATGTTTTTTTACAAAAATTTTAATATGGCATCATTGTACAATGTTTCGACTTGAAATAACAAAAATTTCAGAAAAAAAAAAATATTTCCAAAGTTATAGCTGTTTTTGTTGACCCTGTTTTAAAAAACGGTCCTGGCGGTGACCATCATAACTCCTTAGAGATTCATCTAAAATCAATCAAATAAAAAAAAAATAGTTTCATAAATAGATAATCCTGGGCCTGATCGAAGGTTTTCTTTTTTTTGCAAAAATTAACAAAATGGCAGCATCAAAAATAAAATTTCTAGATTTTTGGGTAAAAAATCAACAGTTAATTGGTCTTAAAAAATTGAAATTTTTGAAAAAATTAAAATCCTTCGATCAGGCCCGAGTTTATTATGTATTCTAACAGCTGTATAAATTTCATTAAAATTTACTAAGCGGTTTTTGAGTTACAGTGGCTACCGGTTCAAAAAACATAGTTTTGAGAAAAACGCGTTTAAAGTTTCACATTGGATTTACGTACAGAAATTCGAATTATTGAATTACTTAAACCAAGTCATCTATTTATAGACCATATAATAGTTCATCAGTCATTGTCTGCCACTTTAACACGTGCAGCATCCAATTTTTCAGCATACCAATGGGAATTATACCCACAATTAGGTCCTAGGGTATCCATAATCAATAATAATGATTATGTATATGTATTTAGCAGTTTGTACGATAGTAGAACTAGTATTCACGGTTTTTAGGCATATTTTTTACACTAGTTGGTTGAAGCTTTTAATTTTTTCTGATTATGGATTCAATCTCGAACTACACATCTTGAAAGTAAATTATCATTGCTGAGATCGTCGTAAATCGGTTTAAAAGCTTTTAAAACATCAGGAGGTGAGGGAGAATAATCTTGAGTATAAGTATGAGCTCTCCACTTGCGTCCAAAAACTCAAAAAGTAATCATCGGATCAACTTGAAATTTTCAGAGAACATTTTCAAGATATTACACTTAATGAAAATGCAAAAAAATAAAAATCGATTTTTCAAAAATTCCAAGCACCCCTAACCCCTTAAGTGTATAAAGAATTCGTATACAAGTAAGAAATGATTTTGTGCATTTAATTACAAGATTTGGATCATAATTTAGTGCGCAGAATATGCAAAGCAGTTACGGTACCAACGTCCACGGTGCAGCCTCGCATAGACCCCCAACTGGACGGTTAGGAACTGCCAGCCGCCTGGCCATGAACACAGCACTACCACCAAAAACCGCGACGAGATTTGGCACGTCTATTAGTCGCCAAAGCCAGGTGTTTACAAGTTTTGTTTTTATGTTTTATTTATTTTATTTATGTGTGTGTGCACGACTTGATTTTTTTTTATTTAAATGATATGGGCTAGCCCGTAGGTAAGCGGTTAAGAGCGACGGGACTTGTTTCGAGGGACCCAAGTTCGATACCCACTTCGAGCAGCCTGTTGTCAGGCAACATTGACAACGATTTTCACTTGAAAATATAGATAGCAATATGTTTCCAAGTGAAAATAGCCCTCGCCCGACATTGTTGCACCATACTTGTCCTATTACAGAGATTGTAATAAAAATTATTCATACAGACATGTGACAACTGTTTGGGTTGCCATCTGTAACAAAACAAACGTAGTTTGTAAGATCTTAATCACAACAGCTCATAGAACCCATAAGTTCTGATCGCTGTTCGAATAAAATTATAAAAAAAAAATTGAATGATTTGAATTAGATGAAAGAAAACCTGATCGAATCAACTAGAGTCAAGCTTATGTATGGACAAATTATGCATATATTTATTTAAATGTAAATGTGATAAACATTTATGATAAAAAGTATTGAGTTTGACCAATATACTCGATAACTTGGTAGTAACCAAAATGACTACCAAAAAATATATTACAAAATTATTAAAAATGATTATATTATAAAGACGGTAAAAATATTGTTTTAACCGCACACTTTGCATCATTAAAGCATATAAAACAATAATCAAAATACTTTAATTACATCAAAGAATTAATATACAGTTTCTCATGCGAGTAACTCGAATGAGTCGATTGAATTCGGGTGGCTCGCATGATTTAATTCAATTTTTTAGTTTTATATTCATATTCATTAAAATTATTTTTTGTATTTTATAAATATAATTATGTTCCTACATGTATCGCAGTAAATACTTTTCAGTTTGATGATACGATACGAGTTGATTCGAATCAAGTAAAATTTCGAAATGATTCGATTGATTCGATTCGATTGATGCGGCAAAAAAAAATGTGACCCAATTTCTATATTCGCGGCTAAAAATTTCGTTATTCGCGGATTCCAATATATGATATGTATCGAACCCAAAATCCTTTGTAAATGCCGTCATTTTAAACTAAAAAAGAAATCTTTGACATAAGCCGCCTCCGTTGCCTTGGCCGTCTTCGCCGCTATCGGTGTTTTTGAGAATGTAAACTAATAGAATGCAAACAACCTTATTTATTACTCAAGGAATACAATAGATTTTTAGTAATTTGACTCGAATCGACATAAAATCCACATTCCCAGTCCATTGAAGAAGAGTAATTCACTTCAATTGCTTCTACAAGCATAGAAACGTGACATTTAATTTGAAAAATCTTAGTGAAGAATTAAAAATGAACTGTGCGATTTCTATATGGACATTGATCAGTATATGGAAAGTGTTATTTTAAGAGGCAAATTACTGATGTGACTGAGTATCAGTTTGAATTAAAGAAGCAAATAATATTACAAAGTTCTTCAAATATTGCCTTAGCCTAAACAAATTTAATCAAAATGTACAAAAACTATAATTAAAACTAATATTTGTTTTATATATTGCTGAGAAATATTATATGATATTGAATATCTTAAGTATATCAGATCTCACATTAAAATTAGTTGGTAAGTTTAGTACATAAGTTTAGTAAGTTTAAGTACGTTTTAGTACAAAAGTTTAGTACCGCATCTAACATTAATATAAAACTTTTATAAATTGACTTTTAATATTATTGTAATTAATATAAAAATTTAATACCAGTGTTAGATTTGATACTAAACTTATCGCTAACTAATTTTAATATGGAATCTGTTATACTTAAAATATTGCATATTAAATAATATTTCTCAACAATATTTATTTTTCTTTATCGTGCCACCTTGAAACGTATTCCCTAGAATTCCATATAAAATGCCATCCTGTATTTGCGGATTTATTCATTATTTGCGGATTATTTAGTCACCTTGGAACGTATCCCCATGATCATATAAAACGCTATCCTGCATTTGCGTAACGTATCCCCCGCGAATAAGGAGGTTTCACTGTATATACACACCTATATATATATATATATATATATATATATATATATATATATATATATATCTTCTTATATATAAAAATGGAGCTCTCTTTTAAAAGGCCAAGTAAAGCTCGAAAACGGCTGAATCAATTTGGCCAGTCTTAGTCTTGAAAAATTCGTGCCAATCCAGAGAAAGTCCAAAAGGTGAGAAATTATTTCAAATCCGCGTAGAAACTTTTTATTTTTAATTTGAAAATTTTTGTAGAAGCGTAATCTAAATAAAACAATGGACGGTTGCTAATCCGTGAAATGTCAAACGTTTTTGACAGATGATGTTCAATTACGTTCAATAGGATATTTTACGTGAATATTATTTAATTATGATTAAATTGTAGTAAGTAGCTTTGTTTGTAGTTTAATTTATATATAAAAACGTTAGTGAACGGGCCGCAAGTGTTACTAGAAACTCAAAATATCAACTCTTTTGAAATGTTAATATGAAAACGCACTTTTTGGCGTTGTAACACTCTTTTTTTTTGCAAATCATTTTTTTCTCAAACACGGTACTCTGAAAGATCTCATTTGTATAATTATATACTCATTGGTATTTATAAAACATTTTCTATGATATATTATTTTTTAATTATGTTATTTAAATTCAGAACCTAAATTCGGCATCAATCAAATGGATATTTTCATCGAATGTTACTTGAAACTTTTCAAAAAGCAGGTCAAAGAAGAAATACTTAATTCATTTTCTATCTCTCCTCGCAGAAATTTGAAAATTTTGTATAAGCTCAGTAGTATTATTCACAATTATACACTAAATCCAGAATCCAAAAGGAATCTGAAAAACTTGAAACGTAATCAATAAGTGGAAATACCAAAAAAGACTTGGATTGGATCATACCATGTTTTCTATAGAAAGTGTATAATACTTCCAGTTTGATTGTGTTGACAAAATATAGACAAACTAATACGGTTTATTGTTTTTATAATACCTCATTGTATATAGCATTCAAACAACACATCCTTATACACTTAAAGTATTAATATTTTTGATTCTATAGAAATTGTTTAGAATATACCTTACTTAGCAAAATAACGTTTGCCGGGTCAGATAGTATATATATATATATATATATATATATATATCCCCCGCGAATAAGGAGCACGAATATATACACACCTATATATATATATATATATATATATATATATATATACGTATATAGGTGTGTATATATTCGTGCGTGTGAATGACACGTCTTGTAAAGGCAGCGCAAAGGACCGAAAAGTCAATTTTGAGTTAAGATCAAAATTTCAAATGATCAAAGACAGTTGGATTTGATCGGAATAGCTGATGAAGAAAGCACCCTCTTATGAACATAACAAAAACGAAGTTGAAATCTGTGTATTCAAACCCTATTTCCGTTTAGAGCATCCTGGACCGGCCGATAACGCAGCACGGTATCAGCGGCCTGGCCACGGCATCGAGCGGAGGCGGTAACACTCGCCAGATCCAAGACAGGCGCTATTGGGAAGGCGTTTTGCAGTTGAAGATGCGAGATCTACAAGAGGAAATCGTGCGTTTACAGACGTTCACCCAAGCTGCTGCTAGAGAACAGAGCGCCAAGAAACACTATGACAAAAAGGTCAAACGAATCGCCGCAGAACTTACAGGTTCCGCAAATTGAAAATTCTAAATAAGATTCAATATTTTAATTCAATGCCAATTTTATCACAATGTATTGTACATTCATACATTTCCATTTCAATAATTTGTTCAAAATCTATTATCACACCTGTGTTTTATCAATTTTTCCTGGGCTACTTTAAAAGATTCTACAATATTTCAATTATTTAACAATTTAACAATAATTTTCATGTATCTAAAATTTCTTATAGTAAAATTACTTTTAAGAGCTGCAAGGAAAATTGGCAGATTACAATTTAGTCATGGAAAATTTGTCTTCTGGAGGTGATCGGTCGAGGATGGAGAACCAGGCACAAAAGCTAAGGGAGCAAAATGAAATTTTACAAGCCAACGTTGAAAGTGTGAGAAACCAAAACTCGATTTATTTTATATTTAGGCACATTATGTATGTATAGTTGCATAAACTTCCTGAACTGATACAATTACTATATTTTATATAGGTGTTTGAACAGAGACAAAAAGCTGAAGAAAATATGATTCAATTAGAAAAGCAGATTGAGGAGGTAACAATATTAAATTTTGTTTTTTTTTTGCGTTTTACAGAAACAATTGTAGTTCTGAATGTTTTATCTAATTATTTTTTTATTCTCAATTCTGTTATTTTTGTCCTTAAGAAGCGAAATACCTCAATAATACTGTTACCATTACAGGAAAATCAAAAGATTATGCATATCATTAATGAAATGCCCGACAAAGAGAAAGCTAAATATTTGGAAATGAGAAGTAAAAATCAGGAACTACAACAACGTGCTATTGAAATGCAAAATGAATTGGATGAAATTACCAAGGAACGCGACCGCTTGCATGTCGAAATCAGTGGATCCCAATTGCGGCTGGACGCCGTAAGAATATTTTAAATTCTTGACATTAACACTTAGTGCATATGAATTTTATATTAAATTGAATTCAACTCTAAGAATATTATTACTATAGTATAAATTTGGTTCATGGACAATAAATCTAAGACCAATATTTTAAATACTTTATTTAGGCAAGACTGTTCGAGCGTATAAGAGAAACTGAACAGAAACGTCAACAATTATTAGAAGATCAGGCGACACGCCTAACTCCTGCCGAAGAAAGAGAAAAACTTCTCGCACAGGTAATAATTCGCAATCCACTAGTACCATCCGTCTAATAAAATATTGCATAAAGACAAAATTTGTGAATAATTAATTCAAATTATTTAACAAAGTTTTTTTTGTTAAATTTTAATAAAATTATTTTTCAATTTAGGTTCGAGAAGATAATGCAGCTGTCTCTAGCATGGATAAACAAATGAAGCATTTGAATGAAGAGATTAAAAAGAAGAAAAAACAGTTAGACCAAGCTGAACAGGTGAATCTAAAATAAGCAACGTTTTTCGCATGTGGAAAAACCAACACAAATCATATCAAGTTTTGATATTACTAAACACTGTTTTTATCAACAACCATAATAATATTGCTGAACAAAGGAGACATTATCTTGAACTGCACATTCTGAACAGCTAATGTCAAAGTACTACAATACTAACATTATTATTAATATTTTTCTCAGGATTTAGAAGAAGGAAATGGGGAACGTCATCAGAAATACATAGAATTGCGCAAACGCGATGATGCTATGGAAGAATTCCTGCAATCATTTCCACAAGTTTATGATGAAGAAATGTCAAAGCTGAAGGAGTTGCAAGAACTAATCGTTCATTGTTTAAGTCACAGCAGCTTAAGCGTTACTGGAGAATCAGTTGACCACATGCACGTGGCAAAAGACAACTTTGTAAAATTTTCAAAAAGCATTAGATTCTTATAATATAGAGTTGTTGAGAATTAATTTCAATTTCAGAATTCAAGCGAAAGTCCTACTCATCACTACAATTCTATGATGCAACAACTAAAGAAGGTACAGAACTACAAAGAAGTTAATAGTTAATAGTTGAAGTATTGACGTCGCACATAATTTTATGCAAAAAATTCACTTCATGGACATTCTGAAATAACAATTAACTTTAACAGACTCATTATTTATTCAAATTTCATGATGATTAAAATAATGTTAGTTGTTTTATTCAGTAAAAATTATAATAAGAGCAATACGTCTACAATTCAAATTATTCTTCATGTCATATTAATATTTCACAGGTGACTTTTTAAACAATTTAATTTCACGTTGTTAATTCGTTCGCCGCTAGCATCGACATTTAAAAAAAGTAAATAACACCAACAATTTTCTTCAACTCAATTTTCAATTTTCTTCATTTTGATTATTTGCAAAGAAAATAATGTACATTCATAAAAACATGTTTAATTGAAACTATTCTTTACAATATAAGCAAAAGTGAAAAATTCTTATGAGTAAACTTGTGGCTAAACAAATTTTGTCATGTGAAATAATTAAAAATTTGAATAATAAATTTTATGAATATTATATAATTATGAACATTACTACTATACGCCATAAATTGAATGGAAAGTAAAATTCTAGTGTGTATGCAATATAATCTAAAACTTATACAATTTAGAAATTTTCACTTACTTTTATAAATTTCACATTGACTAGGTGCAAGCAATGGAAAATAAAATGCATTCAGAACTGAATTCAATAATGGATACAGAAAAAAAAATGCAACAAGAGTTGCTGATTGTAACAGATCTGCACAGTTTGAGAGAGAAACATAATGAACATATACAAGAATTACTGAGAGAGAAAGAGATGCTAAAAAAGAAGAGTGAGCCAACTAAAAATGCTGTGATTGAAGCACAGCGAAAACATGATGAGCTAAAGGTATGTGGGAATATTAAGAATAAAATTATTCTTAAACAATTTAATAAAAAATGTCATTTTTCAGAAAACTCTAGAGGATAATGATATGTATTTGGGTATAAAAGATTTACAAGATAAGCTATCAGATCTTACTACAACTGTAGATAATTTAAATGAAAAAGTTCAACAGATGAAATCTACTACAACTTTTGAAGACATAAAGCAAAGTTGCCTAAATTCATTGAATCAATATAATGAAATGTTAAATATCAAATTGCCTACCAGTTAAAAATTTTATTAGAAATTTTAAACAAATTGTGCAACTAATCGTTGAAGAAATTCCAATAACTATTTATTTTTTGCTATTTTTAATATTTAAATGTGAGAAAACAATATTTTAAAAATATATATTAATATATGTGTGCGTATGTGTGTTTGCATGTGTATGTGTGTGTAAATTTTTATTATATTATTTTATTAGTATGTAATTTAACAAAAATGTTACGAGAAATTATATTCAAAAATTAACTCAATGTCTAATTTTATAATGAAAGAAATAATAGAAATGAAACAAATGAATAACAAGAAAGCGTTTATAATTCAATCAACAAATATTAAATATTCTATTTCTATTATAATGCTTTATTTAGAGATGACTTAGGTTCATCAGAATCAATTAAACCTTGTGGTAAAGGGTATTTATTAGTTTGTAATAAATTGGCTAGGGTACATAAAAACTCTATTGATGGCTTTTCATCATTTTCTAATATTTTGTTGTACAGCTCCACAGCTGCTTCACAATTATTATGACGACCTATAAAATGTGCAAATACAGTAGAAAATTATATATATATATATATATATATATATATATATATATATATTTATAATTTAAAAAAAATACTTACAGTGAACCCTCAAAATTTTCTCATACATATCATCAGGAATGAATTGAGGTAAATCCTTACAAACTTTAGCTAAGACTTCCATACATTGGTAGTTACCCTCAATTTCAAGCCGTTCACAACGTTTCTTCAAAAATATAGGTGAAATTCTTGATTTGGGATCCTAAAAATAAATAATTTATACAGTTATAACAATTTTTAATTGGCTAATATTTTGTTACTAAGAATACTAAAAAGAAAAGTTAAATGCTCAATTAGCAGAAAAATGTTTAAATATATAGGTCATGTAATTAATAATTTTCATTTATAATTTAGATTACTTCTTACCGTTAATAATCTTCTTAAATCATTTGTCATATTTGCGCTTGCATAAGCTATTGCTAGAGCAGATGTAGTACTGACAACGCCATGGACTTTTTTGCAAGCGTCTAATACTAGTTCTAATAATTGTGATTCATTTCTTTTAGCAAGGTGAGTGATAAGTTCTAATTGAAGCGGAGTACAATTTGACTCATGAACGCTGGTTAAGAAATCATGAACAGCTCCTTCAAAATCATTTCTAGAACCAAATAGTTAAAAATACTATAGATTTATAAGTATTACTATTAATATTAATTACCTTTTTAATATATTAATTATATGTCATTCTAAAATATAATTCAATAAATCTATATTTCTTGCATAAAAACCATAAATGAGTACACTTTTTTTTTGGTTTCAGTTTTCTTAATAAATTTTAAATGTCATAAACAAAATAATTTAATATAGAACTGTTTCAGAACAGTATTACTATCACTATTACTACCTATTCAGATGAGCTCTAATTACAGGTCCTAACAACGCATTGTTTTTGGAACAAAATCGAAGAGTCACTAATTCATTCAGAACATCACGAACTTGTGCTGGCGTGCCTGTCTCTGAAAGTGCAGTTAGTAACCGGAAACAATTGTGAGATATAGCATCGCCACCAGCCACAGTATGGTCATCACAGTATTGCTTTAAAATGTCAATAGACTCTGCAAATAAATATTCCATGAATAAGCAAGAAGCACATCGGTAAATATTGAATATTGCATATGGATCGAACATAGCCCACTTAATCCAACAGAGACCACACAAAAAGTTTTCCATAATAATGACATAAGTAGATATATATATATATATATATATATATATATATATATATATATATATACAGTAGAACCTCGATTATCCGGACTAATCGTTGTCGATAGGCATCCGGATAATCCAAATTATGAAGAATGATATTTTGTTTATCAAAAATAGCAAATACATACATAGATATCAACAGAAATCGATGTTTATTAGAAAATTAACACTTACATATTTTCTTACGATTAGATTACATTATACATATTATATTAATCATGAGGTAAATTATTCAGGTGGTTCGTAAAGTATCAATGAAGAAGAAAAGTTGCTTACAAATAATTTGTTGATCGTTTTTGTAAAAACCAACAATATAAGGCTTCTTCTAAGAGTTAATTTTTCGGTCTCTTCATCATTTTCCGATTTTCACTCTCCTCTTCACTATCTAACTTGCAAGTGTACGACAAAATTGAATCGACATTCTTTTTAATATCGCTGATAGTGGATGTACCTACACCATACCTATTAGCTAACTTACGGCCGGTTTCGCCTTTTTTAATGATTCTATAATATTTATTTTATCTTTAAGGGATAACACCACCCTTTAAAAATGTATATATGTACGTCAAAACAGAGAATGTATTAATTACCACCCTTCAAACATCGTCAGAACATACTAGTAAAATTGCAAACGAACTACATAAAGCGATAATCGCGCGGGGCAGCGAAACAGCGGCACGGGCGGAATATGCAAGTTCCGACGCTATTATGTCCGGATAATCGTATAATCCGTATAACTGATATGTATATATATATATATATATATATATATATATATATATAAATCTAATATATTATTAGTGGAAAAATTTATCTATGAATAAAAACCTGTAGTATACTGCAATCACATGTTAGTAATATATGTGCCATCAAAACAATACAATGACCATATTTAATTAAAATTATTTGTTATATTACACTGACAATGAGACATACACTTTAACAATGAGTCTCAAAATGTATATAACATTAATATTATTTAATAAATATATTAAGTGCAAAAAATAGTGTATTGTGTTCATATTTAAAATATGTGTATTAGTAGAACCCTGTTGCAATGATTGAGCTTAATACAATTTTGAAACAATTTCATGCATTTCTTAATACCTTATCTGATTCATCAACACATAAGCATACGTAATAAGATTTGTGATTTTTTTATGAGAAATTTCTAATATCTCAATTTCCTTCTCAAACAACAAATCAAACTCAGTTAGCTGCTGAGCTAAATGAGTTCGTTTCTATTTTAAGTGCCATGATATAGAAAAAATAAAAAAAAAACGGTTTTGAACAGAGAAAAAAGCAAAATTCAGTAAAGTTTGATAAATTTATTTTTGATCGTATGGCTTCATCAAGCTTGAAATTTAAAAATTGCTGAAGATTCACATATCTAATTTTTGTTCAAAATAGCAATAGCATTGTGCAATTTAATCACTAGATTGACACATACATTACAACACTTCCCAAATTGTTGTAAAATTAAAAGGAAACAATCTTGGCCAATGTCAAAACTAAATATATATTTTGAATACAATATTCTAGTATGATGTTTGAACAAGGCTATTAGTATACCCACCTATGTAACTCGTACTGGATTAAGTGGCTTGAGTATGTAAATAGAAAATACCTTGCAATTTCCCTTCCCTTATCAGAAAGGTTGCATAATCTATCATCTTATGTTCGTCAAGTTTAAACCAAGGAGCTTGACGCCTCAGATTTCTGAAAGTTTTTTCGGCCTTCTCCACATTTTTTGACTTGATATGTAATTCTAAAATGGAAGCTTGCATGCCTGGAGATAAAATCATTCTCTTATCTTCACACTCAGCTAATACTTCTAGAGCCCTCTGCAAATTTCCTTTCCGGCAATGACCTTGCAATAATCTTCGCAAAGCACCCCTGGTATTCATTTTTTTGGACTTCAATTCTATTAAATGGTTTTCTAGAGCATCCAAATCCATGTCTCTCTTTAAAATCAGGAAAATTATAAGTAGAGATGTTTGATCATCTTGAATATATATTTTTATAATTACTTAAATTACAAATAAAAATAAAAAATCTAATTAATTTATATTACTTTTGTAATGCCTTTTTGTAATTAAAAGTTGACTAAAGATTGATTTATATTTTCAACTAAATTAATTAGTTATTAAAGCACCACCAAGCAGTTCTAATAAAACAAATTTGAAACTTCATTCAAACAATTTAAAGCTTAAAATTTAAGTAAATTTTTGTTTATATTTAAAGTATGTAGATATTAAAACTAGATCATTTTATACATACAGGATGGGGAATAAATTGGCTGAACAGTTCTGATGAAGGAATGGCATATTGTGAACTTCTTAATTCATTCAAGAATATTTCTAAATTGTCTATTTTGTATTCAGTCTTAGAATAGTAGTCCGCAATAATGTCTATCGCAAATGTAGATATCTTCACTCCATCACTTCTATATGACTAAAATAAATAAATAAATAAATAAATAAATAAATAAATAAATAAATATATATATATATATATATATACACATACATATCTATCCCCGTTTTCCTAATTATGAACACTAAACTATAATTTATTAGGTGCGCAACTAAGTTCTCGCTGTTTGTCATTATATGGCTCTAGCAGTAAGGGTTGGTCGATTTTGACAAATCCAAAACGTCTTGAACCAAGCTTAGACATATGGTAAACAAACTGCTGCGACACATAAGTGATTTCGTTTTTGCATTATACACTTCTGGTTAAGTAAAAATGTCTAATTTTATGCCAAACAATCGTCATTTGCGGGGAGTGTTGATTTTCGTCTTCCATTCGACAAAAACGGCAGATCAAGTGCATCGAGAGCTACGGAAATGCTGCTCTGAGCTAAACAACATGCCGTGAGGGGTTTCGTCGCTTCAAAGATGGTGATTTTGACGTTGACGACCGCCCTCGTAAACGAAGGCCAAAACCTCCAAAAACGCCAAATTGAAGGCCTTGCTCGAAGAGGATTTGTGCCAAACTCAAGAAAATCTTGCTTCAGAATTAGGAGTTACCCATCAAGCCATTTCCAAGCGATTGCATGCGTTGGAGATTATTCGGTAGCAAAAAACTTGGGTTCCTTGTGAGTTGAAGCCAAGAGACGTCGAGCGTCGTTTTTTCGCCTGTGAACAAGTGCTCCAGCGGCGAGAAAAGAAGGGGTTCTTCATCACATCGTGACAGATGATAAAAAATAAATACATCACAGCAATCCAAAGAGCATAAAATCTTGGTTTGACCAAATATTCACTGCGAAGGTTATGCTCTGCATATGGTGGGATCGGGTCGGTGTTATTTATTATGAGCTGTTGAAAGCGAGCGAAACCATCACTGGAGAACTGTATCGAACTCAATTGATGCAATTTAGCCGAGTACTGCGCGAAAAACGGCCACAACACGAGCAGAGTGATTTTACTGCATGACGACGCTCGGCCTCACGTTTCCAAGCATGTTAAAACTTATTGGGAATGCTCAAATGAAAAGTCCTACCCCACCCACTATATTCCCCAGATATTGCACTGTCCAATTTTTACTTGTTCCGTTCGATGGCACATTGCCTGGCTGATCAGCAGTTCAACTCATATGAAGAAGTCAGAAAATGACTTGATTCGCGGATAGCTTCAAAAGACGAACACTTCTGCCACCAAGTATTTGAGCTCTGCTAGAAAAATGGGCAATACTTTGAATGAATCAGATGTAAGAGTTTTTATATAATAAAGTTACACTTTTATCGAAAAACAGCGAGAACTTAGTTGCGCACCTAATACTTATATCTTCAATACCATTTTTATTATTTTACTGTCAAAATACAATACCTCATATGCTTATTTATCTATGCATTCGATTAAAACTAAATTTTATATGTGTATAAGCTAGTTTGTTAAATACCAAAACAATAAGCATTATTGTTTTTAAACTTTGTTTCTAATTGATGTTTGTTTATGATTGATAGCGCAAAATATTTTTTTTTTATATTTGTTTTATTATTGAGATAATATTGAAATTAATAAATGTGTTTGATATTAAATATATGAATATTTATTTTCGTTCAATGTGCTTGTTATTCATCATATTAAGAAATGACAAAAAGGTTTTTTTTATAGTGAGTTTTTTTTTGATTATCATTCATTGTGAGTTAATTTGAAAATATGTTTCATTCTTCTTTAAAATTGAAGATTGTATCTTCAACCAGTCTATGAACAACACATATATTATACACTATCTATTTAAGATTTTTAACTAATCTAAACTTGACAAGTTAGTTTTATAACTGTTAGTGCTGATTTCCAGTGTTGTGTACACATCTTTAGATGCAACTCTTTGGAGTTTAACATAGAAATGTCATATTTTTTCTTAAAGCAGTTTTTAGCATGTGTTCAAATTTTACGGGAAATGCTTTAAGAAAAAATGTGGCATTTCTATCTTAAACTCCAAAGAGTAAATACATAGTTTCGACAACTTGTTAAGTTATCATGATTATTAGTGTGTTTTACCATTTGTGACGTTAAAAAATATATATCTTATTAATGTGCACATACTAATACCATGGAAAAATAAAGATGTTTTAAAAAATCTTTACTTATTATATTTTTTACTTGATGTTACGCCCTCCTAGAAATTAATCATATATATATATATATATATATATATATATATATATATATATATTTGAATAGTCTTGAATTTGATGTTGATATATATGTTTAATTTGAGTTTAATATTCGGGCGTAAGATCAATAAAAATAGTATGAGAGTTTTTTTAAAAGTTTATTTATTTAAAATCCATACGTTTCGGCTAGCATCTTAGCCATCATTCAGTGGTAATCAAATTAACAATAAAAAATTGAAACTAAATAAATTATATGAAAGAAAATTTCATGGAAAAACAATAATAATAATAATAATAATAAAACACTTACAATTTTGTATCCTAATATAGCATATGAAACCATTATTAATCCATGGTATGAGTATGTGCACATTGATAAGATATATATTTTTTAACACAAACATCACAAATGGTAAAACACACTAATAACCATGATAACTTAACAAGTTGTCGAAACTATGTATTTACTCTTCGGAGTTTAGGATAGAAATGTCACATTTTTCTCAAAGCAGTTTTTAGCATGTGTTGATATTTTTTGGAAAATTTAAAAAGCGATGGGATTTTGTTATTTTTTAAGAAATTTTGACACGCTATTAAGAAACCACGTGTTAGTTTCGTTCAGGGCCGTATTGTCGAAGCATTTGTTTATGACCCTGTCGTTATGTAATTGCAAAAACAACCCCTCAGCGAATCTTCTTTTAATTGTGTTCTCTTCAAAATGTAAAATTTTAGGGTTGAAAATATCGATATTATGATTTAAATTTTTAATATGCTCAGTTAACATCATTTTAAATTGCTTGGGATTTTTTGAGTTATTTTTATGTTGATGGAGGCGTTTACTCAGGTTTTGGCTAGTTTCTCCAATATAAAAGAGTTCGCAATTAGAGCAATTAATCTGATATACCAAGTTCCTGAGGCGGTCAAAATTGAACTTAGATTTAATTTGTGTAAAAATCAAACTAAGGGTTGCATCACAATTACATACCAACAGAATGCCACACTGTTGAAATAGTTTTTTCCACGAGAAATATAAATCTTTTACGTACGGTAGGCAAATGACACCAGTATATGACTCCAAGTCTAAGCGGTTTTTATGGTCTGTGAGGTCGTTTTGTTTGTTAAAAATGTAACTGCGTCTGTTATTTATGACCAAGTTGATTATGCTTGTAGGATATGAGTTGTTTTTTAGTGTGCTTATTACAAGGTCAATGTTCGTGTCCCAGAAGTTTTTGTCAGATAGTAGTATGGCGTGGTCTGTTAAATTTATTATTGTTGCTATTTTCATTTTAAGAGGGTGGTATGAGTGGTAATTTATGTATCGTCCGGAGCTAGTTGGTTTCTGGTACCAGTTAGTAATTAGTCGGTGGTCATTTACTAATTACTAACTGGTACCAGAAACCAACTAGCTCCGGACGATACATAAATTACCACTCATACCACCCTCTTAAAATGAAAATAGCAACAATAATAAATTTAACAGACCACGCCATACTACTATCTGACAAAAACTTCTGGCAGTGTGGCATTCTGTTGGTATGTAATTGTGATGCAACCCTTAGTTCGATTTTTACACAAATTAAATCTAAGTTCAATTTTGACCGCCTCAGGAACTTGGTATATCAGATTAATTGCTCTAATTGCGCACTCTTTTATATTGGAGAAACTAGCCAAAACCTGAGTAAACGCCTTCATCAACATAAAAATAACTCAAAAAATCCCGAACAAATTAAAATGATGTTAACTGAGCATATTAAAAATTTAAATCATAATATCGATATTTTCAACCCTAAAATTTTACATTTTGAAGAGAACACAATTAAAAGAAGATTCGCTGAGGGGTTGTTTTTGCAATTACATTACGACAGGGTCATAAACAAATGCTTCGACAATACGGCCCTGAACGAAACTAACACGTGGTTTCTTAATAGCGTGTTAAAATTTCTTAAAAAATAACAAAATCCCATCGCTTTTTAAATTTTCCAAAAAATGTCAACACATGCTAAAACCTGCTTTGAGAAAAATGTGACATTTCTATCCCAAACTCCGAAGAGTAAATACATAGTTTCGACAACTTGTTAAGTTATCATGGTTATTAGTGTGTTTTATCATTTGTGATGTTTGTGTTAAAAAATATATATCTTATCAAGGTGCACATACTCATACCATGGATTAATAATGGTTTCATATGCTATATTAGGATACAAAATTGTAAGTGTTTTATTATTATTATTATTATTATTATTGTTTTTCCATGAAATTTTCTTTCATATAATTTATTTAGTTTCAATTTTTTATAGTTAATTTGATTACCACTGAATGATGGCTAAGATGCTAGCCGAAACGTATGAATTTTAAATAAATAAACTTTTAAAAAAAACTCTCATACTATTTTTATTGATGTTACGCCCGAATACTAAACTCAAATTAAACATATATATATATATATATATATATATATATATATATATATATATATATATTAAATGGTAGAGTCTTGGATTTGTGTATATTTTGTAGAGTTTCGAACAAGAATCCAAAAAGTAATAAAAAACAAAAAAAGTTTTTTAATAAACAATTTCTTTATTTATTTATTTATTTATTTATTTACTGTCGACGTTTCGGAACTATGTATATTCCATCTTCAGGACATCTGTCAAGAAACATAATCTTGATGAGATTTAAGCAAACAATGTGTTTAAGAAAAGAAAATGGATTTTTCTTAAATAATAAATTAGTTGAAAAAATAATAATGTACAGAAATATGATAATATGATCAAAATGAAAATGATAAAAATAAATGAATGGATTATCTAACAGGTTATTAAAAATGATAAAAAAATTTTTTGAAAGTTTTAGAAAATTTTAAGGAAAGGTTAATGACAAAATTGAATTAATTACCTGTATGTTTGAATATATGCTAGCACTTTTTCATTAACATGATTTTAACAAAAAAATGAATTTATGAGTTATTTTTCAGCCGAATAGGTAAATTTTGTAAATCAAAATTATTATAAGTTTTGTCTTTTTTAAAATTATTATTTGAAAACACAAACAATATTATTCTCTCGATGTTATGAGATCGGCTGTTGGAAATAAACTAACTAAATCTGAGTCATACACAACACGTGTAAACACTTGAGAACTGTGAGGTTGTATGTGTGTGTTTTTATATGTTAGGATGTGAATACTTAAATTATTGATCTTAAATGGAAGTCGATATTAATTGTTTGTCAAAAAGTGTAGAAAATTTATTATTAGAAATTATTATTTATTATTAGAAACATTCATAAGAATAAGACAACTTTCCGCAAATAATCTCCTAAAGATGCAACTTTCATGATATGTATAAGATCTTTGGAGTGAAGTTATACGAGTGGGCGTTTTGAATAGAGTGCTGTACTAGGGTACTTTTGAAATTTTTTTGTTTATGGTGGACCACACTTGGTTCATGTTGTCTCATTCTTTTGTGTACTTATTGCGAGGTTTGTCCAATATATTGGAAAGCACAGTCGTTACAAGAAACAGAATATACTACGTTAGTATTAAAATTGGATGGGGTAGGGGATTTAATGTTCGTAAAAAATTTTTTGAAGGAGTATAAGAATGAGCCTGATACTAAAATGTTTTCATCTAACAGAATTTTGGTAAAATAATAATATAACTCTTCAACGTATGTAATGCTGCAGTAAATAATATTGGTGTTTTTGATGTTGGTAGTGGTATTGGGAGAATTAATTTTTGTTTTTAAAAAAGTTCATCTTTTTTGAATAACTGAATGAATAAGATTTTTTGGGTAACCATTTTCAATTACAGTTATTCTTACCAGGGATAAATTTTATGGATGGAAAGTTTGGTGAGACTACAAAATAGCATGGTCTGTAAGGGAAATAATAGTGTTTATTTTATAGTTTCTGGGACAGTATGAGGAATAGTCTAAGTATCTACCCGACCATGTAGTTTTTCTATACCAATTTGTTCGAATAATGTTGTTAGTATTGTAAACGGATACATCCAAGAAATTAAGTCTGTTGTTATTTTGTAGTTCATGTGTGAAAGTTATATTATTGTTAAAGTTATTGAAAAGATCTAGTATTGTGTTTATATGATTTTTGTTAATGATAAAAAAGTGTCATCTACATATCTAATATAAAAGTTAATCTGAAATTTTAAAGTTGAGAAAACGGAAATTTCTAGGGTCTGTAAAACTAAGTCTATAATTCCGGGAGATAAGGGGCATTGTCTTGGCAATGGAAATATGAGTAATTTAGAATAGTGTTGATAATATGAGTGAAGACTGTTTTCAGAAAGCCAGTAAAGTTACCAATTGTGTGCCAATGTTTATCGATTGAGTTTAGAATTAATTTATGTGGGACACATGTAAAAAGGTTGACCATATTTAAGCTTAGAAATAAGTGATTTTCAGGAATGTTGCGGTTATTAATAAAATTCACAAATTGGTACGAATTCCTGACATAATAGGGAGAATTGATTGTGACATTTTTTAGGACATCAGAAATGAGTTTCAAAATGTTGTAAAAAGGCGAGCCAATATAGGAGACAATCGGCCTGAAAGAGCATTCAGGTTTGTGTATTTTTGGAAGACAGTACATCTTAGGGGAGATAGGGTGTTGCATTTTTAGGTTAAAAGCAAAATTCTCAGAAATTAGTTTTTTGTTTTTTAGATCATTGATTAATTTAAAAGCTATTCTAGAAAAACGTTGTGTGGGATCTTCTGTTAAAATATTATTTCCGAAACGTCGACAGTAAATAAATACTAAATTTACTAAAGTAAATAAATAAAGAAATTGTTTATTAAAAAACTTTTCTTGTTTTTTATTACTTTTTGGATTCTTGTTCGAAACTCTACAATATATATATATATATATATATATATATATACATAGCTGGGCATTAACTCGTTAATCCGTTAATCGTTAATTAACGAAGTTAACATTTTGATTAACGGATTAACTTTTAAGTTAACTTTTAAAAATGTTAACGGACACGTTAACTTCCGTTAAAATACCAGAAGTCCGTTAATCGTTAATCCAATGCCTACTATTTACCGCACGGCACCGCAAGATTTGGACCACTCCTGAATGATAAACAGTGCCAACTTGCCGCGGCATTTCACCCAAAGTTCCGGTTGATAAGGCTGGAAACGTATGACAGCAGTAGAGTGGATGCAGTAAGAAAAGAAGATGCCTTACGACAAGAAGCAGCGGAAAATTCGAAGGACAGTTTAAGTGGCGGAGGGAGCAATGCCAATAACAACGATGATGACGAGGAGAAAAACGTTTTTAATTCTGTCTTCTCTTTAAAGAATAAAGCGCAAAGTCTGCTGCATTCCTCGGGGAACAGATATTCACAAATCTATTTATTAAATACAATACTGCTATACCCTCAAACGCTGCAGTTGAACGTTTATTTTCCACGGGTAAAGACATTTTGACACCAAAACAAGCCTCGCTTTCAGACGAGAACTCGAACATGTTAATGTTCATGAAGGGGAATATGCACCTTATGCCCGACGCTTAACCCGTCGCGCGTTTCCTATTTTTCGCAAAAAAAAACTCTTTTTCCCTTTATTTAGAAAATTAGTTGGTATTTAGCCTTGAGGCAAGTTACATGAACTTCCCAATATGTGTAAATAATCGACTTAAAAAACAAATTAATTTATGATTGATTAGAAGTATTCCGAGAGCTTTTATTACGCATAATTGAAAACGAACGAACACGTTAACTCGAAGTATTTTCTAAAAGCAAATTTTCACTAATCAATAATTTTTATAATTAAACCAGTTTTCGTAGGACGTTAATGGTTTAGTATGTTCATTAAGACCAAGTAGTCTATCGTTATACAAAGTAAATCATCTAATTTTAATTTTAACAAACGTCAACAAAACTACTCATTTTCTCAAACTTTGATGAATTTTTAAAATTAAACTACTTGTCGTAAGGCCGTAATATTTTAGTAAGTTCTATAAGACCATGATATACATCGCCAAAGAAAGTTTCATAACAATCGGCTTAAATTTTGTTTTCAACAGTTAATTACAAGGAAACGGCTCGGTACATTTTCACCTAAAACCAATCAGTATTATTCCCAACTAATATCTTTCGAACAGTTTTTTATTTTTTAAAATCGAGTCTGTAGAATGAGTTTAAATGTGGACAAAAAGTTAACACTCTTTTTTAAATTGCAAAGAAACGGCTCGGCAGATCGTCTCACAAAGCTGATAAACTATAGTGCTCATTGAGATACATCGAATGGCTTTTAAAATTCTGAAAACGGTTCAGGCATTTTTGAGCAAATGTCGATGAAAGGTCTAATTTTGACAAATGCCAAAAAACGATACCAATTTTTGCAAACTTTGACAAATATTTAAAGCTAAACGAGTTGTCGTAGGGCGGTAATATTTTAGTATGATCTAGAAGACTATGATATCTACCGTCAAAAAAAAATCATAAAAATTGTCGGATTTTTTTTTAACTTTATTACAAGAAAACGGCCCGGCCGATCGTTACCAAAAACTAATCAGCACGATTCCGAACCAATATCTTTCGAACGGTTTTTGAATTTTCAGAATCGATTCAGAATTGCGGGCTAAAACGTGGACGAAAATTTTGTCACTTTTCTGCTATTTACAAGGAAACGGCTCGGCAGATCGTCGCACGAATCCGACAAACGATAATCCTCATCGAGATACATCGATTGGCTTTTAAATTTTTGAAATCGGTCGAACCGTTTTTGAGAGAACGTCAATTTACGGCAAAAAATCTGTTCACACGCACACACACATACTTTTTCCAAATTTGGTCTTATTCGATTCAGAATGGCTTGAAACGTCGAGAAAACATAAAATTAGCAAATCGGATTTTTTGATGAAAACATAAATTTCTCCTTCGGGAAGTTAAAAATTCTTGTAAAAACAATATGCAATCATAAAAACGGAAAGTTGACCAATAGCGTCATTATCACGGTGTGTGCATAAAGCGCGTCGCGCTATTTTTCTTATACACACGGGGTTAAATTACACATTTGAATTATACAAGTATTTTGTTTTTTCCAGAACCTAAACCAATAAGTTTTTTAAGTTTACTAACGCAATGATATAAAAATGTAATTTTACACATATTAACGGATTAACGATTAACGTTAACTTGCGTTAATTCTTCCGAAATGTAACGATTTAACGTTTAACGAAGCTAACTTTTTTTGTAGCGGATTAACGATTAACGAAGTTAACTATTTGATTAACGGTGCCCAGCTATGTATATATATATATATATATATATATATATATGTATATATATGTATACACCCCCATTTTACCTCAGCGCCTACATGCAATTTTTTCCCTAGTGCCTCTATCATAAGAATATTTGACCTATAATACATAAGCACATATTTTTACCCTTTGGTGCTTTTGCATTCTTATACCTTCATTAGGTTATGCAGTTTCCTCATGCATTTCTTATTTCCATCATTCGATATGATTTCTAAAGCTAACAATCCTGCCCAATCATTTAGAATCTTCTGCGAAGAACCTTCGTCCACTTTAGCATCAGCCTTAATTGATTTGAGAATAACAACTATATCTTTAGCAGCAGCACCTTTAATAACAGCTTTTACCAGCTGTTTCATGACAATATCCCCATGAAGTTCAGTCTTATTGAAGGTTTCAACTAGAGATATGTAAGCAATATTTTCCAAATGAATAGCTTAATATCATAACAATATCAATAAATGGATTACCTAAAGCCACACAATCCTTTATCCTGCTCCTATTCAGTAAAAAACAAACTATTGGCTGCAAAGCTTCGGCCACTGGTAACCGCAAATCTTGTAATTTGCGAACAACCACTATTGGATCTGTCATGTCTAATCGTGGCAAAACATAATGCCGAAGTGTTTCAAAATCAGGTGTTACTTTAAGATTTTGCATAGCTCGAAGTAATCCCATTATTCCTGTAAATGTTGACAAACTTATAGGTAAGAATAATAGTATTTTTGTTTGTAGTTATATAGTAGAGATGGGGAACTCACTCCGGAGTTATCACTTCGATACAACTCATCCCTTGGAGTGAATCCGAGCGGAGTTGTATCGCAAGATTTGTCATATTCGACTTCCTTAAACTGATGCTATTTAATATAAATATAAGATATTCAAAGAAATATTTTTTTTTTCTCTTCAAAAATAATTATAAAATTGATATTGATTCGCAAATTTTCCGTTTTTTTGTCAACACTGCAAAAAATATAAGCCATTGATTCGATTGCCTGCCAAAATTTTTACAATCTGACATTTATTGGTAATTTTTTTTTAATTCATTGTTTTATTATTTATTTATTCATAAATTTTCTGATTGATTGCCTAGTTGATCCTTTACAGCAAAAGAATTTCCCTGATATTTCAATATTTTTATAGTCTCTTTTTTTTAGGCATACAGTTTTAGATTTATATGCATATTGAAATACATAAAGTAATTATTTCTTATAATAAAATGAAAGAAAAACTTTTAAACTGTTTGTAAGTGATTTCTAAATACCTAATAAATCCTTACAATTAGATATATGAACAACACACTATACAACAAAGGGTATGGGCGTGTTTCCATACAAAATTGGCCCCACCCTGGTATTTAAATAATTTTGATGCCATTTTATAGGTATTTTCGGGAAAATCCGATATACAAAATTTCAAATCCGTAGCTCATCATTTGGCCGAGATATCATTGAAAATGTGTGAAAGTGGCCCCTTTTTCAAAGTCATTTTTTGTCGCAACTGTAAAAGATATCGACAAACAAATAACGCCATTCTATTCACAACGGTATGTTCTATGTTATTATTAACAAATATTGTTTAATAATTATTTTTTAGTGCATAAAAAAGTGAAAATAGGTTTTAGATTTGAATTTTCGGGTAGTGCGGTTGTTTGGACTAATTTTTAATTAGCATCATTAGAAAAACTATTCAATTTTCTTTTACTGTCCAAAATTTCGTTTTATTTCATGTGGTAGAACACACCCAAAAGTAGAAAAAACCTGAGCAAGAACACGCTCGCGCTCATATAATGCCGCGTCTCCACTGTTACGAATCCGTGCGGCGAATGGTGCGTCACGAACAAATTTGCGCAGCGGAGTGATACTGTGCGAACGCACGAATTTCCTTTAAATTTGTCCACTGCGCATGTCCATAGCGCACTTTTTTCTTCTTTTTTTGTTTGAAAATGGGAGGGGGGGTTTATTTTTAGAATTACGTACCCTGCCGAACATGGTCGAAGCGACACGAAAATTTCAATAGCTTGCGTTCGCGGCGCTCGCTCCCGCCGCGAGCAACCCGACGCATCGGGCTGCCGAGGATACCCGAACCGACACTAATGGATTAGCGTCAAAGCGCGGATCAAAAATGTAAATAAGTAAGCAGTCATTAAAATTGATGTACTAATTATAATTTTATCTAACTATTAGTATAGGAAATACATCGGTAATTAAGTTATAGATATGTTGAAATATATGTATATCCAACTAAAATATATTTTGGTAGACTTTATTTATCATATTTCAGAGTTAATTTTATATCATCATGATATTATCATGTATATATATATATATATATATATATACTCTTGCTACTTATATGACGTATCATATATTTATTATTCAAAATAAATTAAATGTTTCAAAAAAAAAATGGTAATATTGTATTATTTGCAATTACGCTAAATATCATTTAAAATCTTATTAATATGCAGACTGAATTTTTGCTCAAAGTCTTTTCTGACAAGTATTTATATTTAGAACAGAAGTAATAATTTTTATTCAAAACTGATAATTGTTGGTCAGCCTGCCTCTGTATCCGTATACGTTATTTCTTTGAACTTGTACGTAAACGTTGATCTGTGCTACGGTATAAGTTCAATTGTACAGTAAAGGCATTGAGATATTTCATCTTATCCTCAATTTTGAAAATGGATATGCGTAGAGAAGATGTTATACTTTTTTACACTTCTTATAATTGAACTGTACCAAGAAAAAAAATATTATGGAATCCTAAAAATTTCAAATGTATCAAATTGCTCGCAGTGTGCGTCGCGCACAAGAGCCAACGCATGCGTGCGTCGCGAACAGGATTCGCCGCACGGATTCGTGCAGTGGGGACGCAGCATAACACCCGTTTAAGTCGTCTCTGATTTGCAACGACTAGCAACATCACTGCTCGCCGCGCGTCTTGATAAATTCTGCATATTAGTATGGAACATTTCTTTGTGAAACTTTGTGAAACATTTATCAAGATGCGCGGCGAACAGTGCTGTTGCTAGTCGTTGAGAATGAGAGACGACTTACACGAGTGTTATATGAGCGCAAGCGTGTACTTGCTCAGGTTGGTTCTTTCTAATTTTGAATATGTTCTACCACATGAAATATAACAAAATTTTGCACACTAAAAAAAAAATTCAATAGCCTTTCTAATGATGCTAATTAAAAATTAGTCCAAACAACCGCACTACCCAAAAATTCAAAACAAAAAATTATTTTCACAGTTATTTGCACTAAAAAATAATTGTTTAACAATATTTGTTATTAATAATGTAGTACATACCGATGTGAACAGATTGGAGTTATTGGTTTGTCGATATCTCTCACAGTTGCGACAAAAAACGACTTTTAAAAAAGGGTTCCACTTTCACACATTTTCAATGATATCTCGCCCAAATGATGAGCTACGGATTTGAAATTTGGTATATGGAATTTTTTCAGAAACACCTATAAAATGGCATCAAAATTATTTAAATACCAGGGTGGGGCCAATTCTGTATGAAAACACGCCCATACCCTTTGTGTCGAGTATTAGGTTTCAAAGTTTCAAATACTATTATATAGTATATTACTTTAAAAAAAATAGATTTATAACTTTAGAGTTAGTAAGATAACAATAAACAAATTACCTGAATCCCCAGAATGTTTGCCAATAGATATAATGAGGGGCCAAAAATAATGAGGCCTTATTTCAATGCCTTGCTCCTTCATATGGTTTATTAAAGGTAATGCAGATGCACTTCCTTGCTTCACAGCAGTTATATAGGCAGTATGTAATGCATACATATTTTTACCAGAAGTTAAAAAGGAATCGCAGATTTCGATAATACTTTGAACATTCTGAAACAAGGCTCTTATTACATTATAATAACATTTTCAAATAACCTATTTCTATACCATAAAAATAAACTACAGAATTTTGTATGCTTTGCATAGAAATACATTATTCACTAACATTCATTTGTTAATGACCAAATTATTATATCAGTTTTGATAATTAATTTCAACAGTTATTATACAAATAAAGTAATTTACTGTGTTGGCATAAATCAATTCTTTGATGAGGAAAGACCCATAACCATCACACTCTATGACACTAGGAAGTCTATCAGGTTTCATCAGTTCCACCAACACTGTGTATGCAGATTTTGGAGCACCTTTGTAAATTAAACGCATGCAAAACGCCCTAATCATAGTAAAAGTTGGTGCTTGTGGTAATTCAAGCAAAATCTGAAAAAGTATATATTAATAGAATATAACATACTAATACAATGTATATACAAACTAAATAAAAATTAGAAATAAATTTCTAATTTCATTCATTAAAATTTTCTTACATTAGGTATGTATTTATCATGTCCAGCCATGGCAAGTTGATATGCAACTTCAAATAAGCTTCTACTTTCAAACCTGATTTGCTTTGAGTAAGCTTCTCTCAATATTTGCAATATATGATAAGGTTCAGTACCTCCAGCAAGACCCAGCAATAAGCAGGCATAAGTTTTTTCACTGGGACAAATTTGTGTTGTAAGCATTGTATCCATAACAGCTCTAGCACTCATAATATCTCTGAAAGTACAAATATTTAACCATATAGAATAAAATTCTACTGTCTAATAATAAGATAAGATTTTAATTCATAATAAGCTGAGAGTGTTGGATCATTGGAGGTGATATATATATATATATATATATATATATATATATATATATATATATATATATCTGCATCTGTTTTCTGTTATCACCTCTTTTAAATAATCTGTAGAAGTTGAGTGAATAAACTTAATCTCTTGGTACTCAGGGGACAAAGATATGAATTCTTAATTTGTATATAGGTAAAACAATCAAGTGTAATCCTTGAATGATTTTTATTCAAAATAAGAAAAAGTTCTTAACATGTTCATTTATAATCTTAGAAGACATTAAATTTTATTTTATTATGTATACAATTAGAAATTCATCTTTTCTTATCAATTTGTAACCTAAATATTTATAAATGAAGACCTATTTGAAGCTCTTTAGCGCATAATACACAAACAATTCTTTTAGCTTTTTATTTAGTAAGTGCCAAAAATGCACAAATATCAAATAACTGAATATTCAGTGCATAACTAATATATATATATATATATATATATATATATATATATTTCAAAGTAACTGGCAGCCCATTCGTCAAAATAAAAAAGGTAAGGTACCTTTTTTATTTCGACGAATGGGCTGCCAGTTACTTTGAAATATGTTTCAACGTCGAAAAAACTATCAAGATATATATATATATATATATATTTATTTAGGCCCTTAATACAGATATTTTCGAATTTTCTTGCTTCCAGGGGCTCAAATGCTTCCAAATTTATAAAAAACAATTCTCTGAAAGTTTTAGCCCTTAATATTAACTTTAAGATAGTCCGCACTCTAACCAAAGATTTTAAGAAAATAACATGGACAATTTTTCATTTGTTTTATAACTTAGCAAATCAAAATTTTGAGAATAACATTGTATTTGCTTATTTTGATCATAAATAAAAAATTTACAACAAAAATTTACATACATTTACATTTCATAAAATAAGTATTTACTTACAACCACAAACCGAGAAACTTTGGTTGGAGTGTGGACTATCTTAAAGTTAATATTAAGAGCTAAAACTTTTAGATAACTGTTATTTATCAATTTGGAACCATTTGAGCCCCTGGGAGCAAGAAAATTCGAGAACATCCATATTAAGGACCACCCTAATATATATATATATATATATATATATACACATACATATATGTGTGTTCGAGTGCAAAATTAATAAAATTTCTTTACCCAGCACGTCCATGCCCCAATACAAGTGCATTGAAAACATTCTCTGAAATAGGGTAATTGAGCCTTTTCATTTCAGTTATAATCTCAGTTGATTGACTAACATCACCACAAGCACAAACGCAATATAGAAGCTTTTCGTAGGTGATAATGTTTGGTGTGGCATGTTTTGTCATAGAAGAGAGAAATTCTTGAGCCGAAATATTGCATTCATTCTCTTTCAAAACATCTAGAAAAGTATTATAGTGCTCGACATGAATGATATTTTTCTTAATAACCATCTTAATAATATTCCGGGCCAACTCCACTTTTGCCTCAGAATCATCACAGGGCATAAGCTCCCCACAACATCTTATAAGACGCACTGAATCTTCTGTGCAAAAATCTGAAAAGTATACAAAGATAATTAAAAATTCTTTTTCCATAGTTATATCCCTGTACCATTGTGTTCCATAAGCAACAATGCCTGTTTGAGAACATCCATCCTAACCAATAAGTTCGAACTGGCTTCACTTTTTATCATTTTAATAATTTCTGACAAATTGTCATTAAATGGTGGAGCTTCTATTTCTTTTATCGATTTAGTATCATTAACAAAATGCCTGAAAAAAATGCAGTAGTTATACAATTACTATAAAATGTAAACAGACCTATTCCATGAAGGAGCCTAACCTAAAAACAAAGCGATTGTTTTGTTTCCTAAGTACAGAAGTTGAGTCATTAATGGCGTATAATTGGGGTTGCCAATTATTAATTTTGAAAATATTCAAATTCATTGCGATTTTGTACCTACTTAGGCACCTTTTAGCGCACAAGGAAATCATTTTCATAACACTATTTGCAATCCAATGTCACATTAGTTGATTTCACTTTTTTTAAATATTGAAATAGTCATTTTACGTTGATATATTTATAAAACAATAAATTGATTTAAAACAAAAAATATAAACATTAGTTAATAATTGCACAAAAATTATACTACATTAGCCATCTATCGGTGACATAATCGCTTCATATGCTCCTTAAGTTGGACAAGAAAACTAGGATTAGTTTTCAAAATTAAAAAAACATTGATTAATATTAATAAAACATAATAGTATCATTTAATCGTATCTCAAATTATTTATTAATGTGATCACTTTTTTTTTATTTATACTCATATTCAACAGCAATCAGAATCTTATTGCCCGTATTTTTAGATGATAATCTAACTGTTCATAGATAAATTAACTGTTGATTCTTTGATTTTTGATATTTTTATCTAATAATCTTTGATGTATTATTAAATTTGATATATTATTCAATTTGATGCAGCAAAGCAGCAGGAAGGGCTATTTTCACTTAAAATTATATTTAAGTTAATTAATATTTCCAAGTGAAAATTTATATCGGGGTTGTCCGTGACATTCATTTGTTTGATTCTTTGATTTTTGTTATTCATTTTCTTATAAAAAAATAGTGAAGTTTTAATAAATTAAAAAACAAAAATGTACTTACCGAGCCAATTTATAATAAAGCCAAGCCAAATATGTTTGAAATTTGATTTGATATTATTTACTTCGCGGTACAGACTGCCGACTAGAACACTTCCATCGCACTACTTTTATATCAGGGTGAACCATAGATAAGTAAGCATAAGCTTTTATAGCGTGGTTTCACCCAAATACTTTTCGAGAATTGAGCAAAACCCTAATAAAATATAAAAGAAACTATTAAAAGTGAACTTTATATCTAATTTAGAATTAGTGCAGTCACCGTACAACAGCTTAACAAACTTGATAAAACCAGCGCAACAGATACTTCGTTATTATTATATTGTCTAGGCTTCGTTTGACATTTTTCTTTCGAGCGCGTTCGTTCTACCGGAAAAAGGCCTAGACTTACTCGAACAGTCAAAATTATCCAAAATTAGTCAAATTAGCCAAAATTAGCCTAGACTTACTTAAAAATTAGTCATATTTCATAATTCATAGATTTTTGAGCACGAAATTTCAAATTAGTCAACATTAGCCTAGATTTACCCAAAAGTTTAAAACGAAATTTTAAATGGTAAAATAATAATAATCTTTGAAAACAACAGATTTTTTAATGATAATAAAGCATGGATGATATGAGGATAGTACAGATAAAAGCGCACAAAGAATATCATGAAAAAATTTGCCTCAAATAGCACTTACAATTCGTTAAGACAAAGAAAATATTATATAATTCATTTAATATGCATTACTTAGTATGTAATATATGTATTATAAAAAAAAATGTATTTATTTATTATAAAAATATAATATGTAGCATGCTTTTTTTTAATTTTTGGATTTTTCTTTTTGTACTAGTTCTTTGTCTCATATAACACAGATTCACTTAACTCGAGCGTAATAAAATGTATGTTTATTATTGTACTTTTAATTGATATATTAATAAAATGTACAAATAAAATTAAAAATACTATCTTTAAATATTAATTTAAACAAAGTCAATAATATTGTATATATAAGTTTAATATCCAACTTTTTTTTTGCAAAATTGATTAGGCTCAATATAATTTTAAAATAAATTTATAAATCTCTTTTATATCAACTGGAACTAATTTGTTAAAGTATTACCAAAATTCTCTAAATTTAAATTAATGCTTTGTTTGGGATTATCACTGATTTTACAGTTTGATATATTTAAATTATCTTCTTGTACAAAATGGAAACTTAATACAGGCAATCTATTTACCACTGCTGGTTCTTCGGACATGGGTGTTGTCATAAGAATTTGACTACTGGAAATATCATTAAAGTCAGAAATTGTAGGTATTCTATTATCATCTTCAGGTAAATTGGAACTAAAAACTATTTCATTATGTTGTATCGCTCCACAATCTAAATCAATGTCCATGTCTTCACTCACAAAGTCATTAACTGGAATACTGTAATGATTATCTTTAAGAAACCGAACAACATCTTTCTGAAAATGTGCCACTTTAAACCGTTCTAAACGTCTGCTCACTGTACGAACAGATGGCAATGGATAATTTCTGGATAATAAATCTTTGAACTTTTTATGACCTAATATTAACTTTAACTGAACAGCTGTGTTTAGTGTTTCATTAGACCAGAAAAATCTAGAAGTTTCCCTTTTCCCTAAATATTTTAATTGGTCTTCATTGAATATATGATTCACATTAAGGCCTTTTGAAATTAATTGTTTTCTTTCTTTTATTTTGTTTATTTCTTTCAATTGTGTTTGGTGAACTTTGCGGAGATATTTATCAGCAATTACAAGTTTCTTCTCAAGCTCTTCAATTCTTGCTTGGAACCTCTCTTCATTCGCTTTTCGTATTAGTAATATTTGAACTATATCTTCTTCAAGTTTTTTATTTTTCAATTTGTAGGATTCATTTTCCATTATAAGTTTATTCACATCTGGAAATTCATTATTTTGTTTTTGTGATCTCGTATCATTATCAGAACAAGATAGAGGATCATTTCCAAATGTGGTTTCTAGCAACAGATTAACAATTGCTGTTTTAGAAAGATTTGTATTATTTTTTATGTCCATGTTTTTTAAATGTATTATTTCGCTACCTCCAGTGTAACTAGATGCTACATTGTCAATACACAAATTATTTTGTATTGATATTGATAGTTTATTTTCTTGTGAGTTTTGAGCAAAATTTTCATTTAACAAATATGTTGCATTCTGTTCTGCATGGCTAATAGCGGATTTATTCAAACATTCATCAGCCAAGTGAGGTATCATTTCTAAAATATCATTATTTTGAGCTTCCTGAATCTGCTCCTTGGTTATTAAGTTGTCTTTGATCTTCTTTTTTTTGGTTTTGTTTTTGTTCTAAAAAATCAAATAAAGTATCAAATAACAATAATTAACAATTTCAAAATAATTAGCTAAGTTAATTAAAAAAGATTTAATGCCAGTAATAATTGCTTGATAATTATCTAATAATACCTTCATATAAAATAATGTCGGAAGTGCACAAGCTTTTAATTTCTTTTTTCCATCTACTCTGAGTTTTTCGAACTGATCTGCAGCAAAATGAATCTATACAAAAACATTTAATTCTTATATATAATAAAATAGAATTTCAATTTGTTATGAAATATGTATTTTCTGTTATTACCTCACATATTCTTAAATACTGCAAGCTCCAGTCACGTTGAGGTAATTTTTCAATCCACATTGCACGTCTTATAGGATCAGTCGGCAATTGCTTAAGAAAAAAACCTTTCTCAGATCTGCTGGAACAACCAGGAACAGAACAGCCAACCATTTTTGTGTGATAATATTTCTAAAACACAAAAATGATTTATTTATTTCTATTTTTATAACGAAATCATGAATAATATTCTATATTAAGCTGTAATAATAATAATAGATAGCTTCAAATGTACATTTTTGATTCAAGTATAATATATCATTGTATTATCAACTAACATAGGAAAAATTTGAAAATTGGCTTTGACACTTTGTTTATTATGATCATCTAGTTCGTCAACAGATTTACGAAGTGACAATTTGACATGTCTTATAACATGCCGAATCGCCAACATAAAGGTGTTATACACACCTATATTTTTTCGATACAATCTGTGAGGAGACACAAAGGTTGTGGGGCGATGGTCAGACAAATAAAAGAATTGATTGATTGAAAGATTGTTGATATATAACTAATAAATCATTTCTACACTTTTAATTAACATTAGCAAACATTTATTAAAATTATAAGTCATTAAAGCTATTTTTCTTAAAACAAATTATTCAACAAATAAAATATAAATGAAAAAAATTATATCATAGATTAATGATATATATATATATATATATATATATATATATATATTTAGCTATAATTAAAAATAATAGTCACAATTAAAATTAATAGTATACTCTTGTTTTATCTATGTTAGTCTTGCCGCACAAACATAAAAAGGAAGTAAAAATCAAAGTTTAAAAACATAAAAAGGAAATATTATGTGATAACTCGATTATTTCGATGATATTCAATTCAGAATTGTAAAGTGCTGATTAAGAATACTCGTTATAACTAAATTTGAAAATGTAATCATTACCAATATAAATATGAGGGTTACTGATAGTTATTTACAACTCCATGGCGCTGGTATCGCTAATTTTAACATGACGTCATAGACATATCAGCCATTTTGCTTGTGGATTCCTAAATCTTATATGCAATAGCGGGTAGCATTATAATTAGTTTTTGTATGTTTAGTGATAGTATAATTATATAAACTACTAAAATATAGTATTAACGTTTGTTGCGTTAATATAAAAAGAGGGCAATGGACGAGAAAGCCTCCCTAAAAGAGCTAGATCAGTGGATCGAACAATTAAATGACTGTAAGCAATTGACAGAAAGTCAGGTGAAAACTCTTTGCGACAAGGTAAAAGTCTTATGAGTCGTAATGCTGAATTCGTTGAGTATGTATATTAATATAAACGACATGTGTTGTGTCAACGTTATCAAAAGTTGGACTGAAATCTCAGATGTAATATATAGTGTGTATGTACAGTGTACATTGCGTCAATCATTATGTGCCTCAACTCGTGTCGGTAATAGTGTGATGTAGACGATCGTAAATTGTACAAATATGGCATAAATCGTCTTGATTCATCATCTTATATTTATTGAACTGTATTATTAACTTATTAACTATTTTCATATTATCTTTCTATGCTCCATGATTTTTATTCCTAAGATATTTGTCAAAAATTTTAACATGATTTTTTCATTTTAAGGCCAAAGAAATATTGGCAAAAGAATCCAATGTTCAAGAAGTGAAATGTCCAGTGACAGTATGTGGTGATGTACATGGACAATTCCATGATTTGATGGAACTATTCCGGATAGGTGGGCGTTCTCCAGACACAAATTATCTATTCATGGGAGATTATGTAGATCGTGGATATTATTCTGTTGAAACTGTTACTCTTTTGGTTGCATTAAAAGTAATTACAGTAAATTTTAATACTTCAACTTGCCAACCATTTTTCTAAACATTTTATTTTTATTTATTAGGTTAGGTATCGTGAAAGAATAACTATACTGCGAGGAAATCATGAGTCACGTCAAATTACACAAGTTTATGGTTTTTATGATGAATGTTTACGAAAATATGGAAATGCAAATGTTTGGAAATTCTTCACAGACCTATTTGATTATTTACCACTTACCGCTTTAGTTGATGGACAAATATTCTGTTTGCATGGTGGTTTGAGCCCTTCAATTGATACTTTAGATCATATTAGGGCTTTAGACCGTTTGCAGGAAGTTCCACATGAAGGTCCTATGTGTGATCTTTTATGGTCAGATCCTGATGACCGGTAAGTTATGAATGTATATTGTATTGTACTTTTATTTTTATATGTTCAGTATGATGTTTCAAATGAAGTTCTAGATAAATATTTTCTACAACATTTTTATGAGCTTGCCATTTATGCTGAAATCTTATTGAGATGTAAATTTAATTTACCTGGTGCTAACATAAATGATTTTGTATCTCAGTAACAATATATGTTTATGCTATTAAACTGGAAGTTAATACTTATAAATATATGTTTATATTATATATTTATGGCAATATTCAATATTCTATTACATACCATAATTATTTTTCTTTAGGGGTGGTTGGGGAATCTCGCCACGTGGTGCTGGATACACTTTTGGCCAAGATATTTCAGAAACATTTAACCATTCAAATGGCTTGACATTAGTATCAAGAGCACATCAGCTAGTTATGGAAGGCTATAATTGGTGTCATGATCGTAATGTTGTGACGATATTCTCGGCTCCTAATTATTGCTATCGTTGTGGCAACCAAGCAGCAATTATGGAATTAGATGATGCATTAAAATATTCATTGTAAGTAGTTTGACCAATATTAGAGATAAAAAAAAGTGAAATATTTCATTAAATTATAACTTTTCTAGCCTACAATTTGATCCAGCTCCTAGACGTGGTGAACCTCATGTTACTAGAAGAACTCCAGATTACTTCTTGTAGATTATTCTATCAATTGTGTTAATTTATCCATTCCCAGTATAAGTTTCTTCCCTTTCCATAACAGCGTCCAGTAAAACGTCCCATATCTCCTCGTGTTCACTTGATATTATATAATTTATTTTGTCGTCATCGGCAACACGAAAACGCTAACTTTGTACTCGGAAAAATAAATTTAACGCTATTGCTCTGAATTTTTCTAAGATAAACAGTTAAGAGAATGTTATAGTGAAATATAAATAAGTATTATAATAATGACCACTGTTTTAATCATTCTGTTTGTAACAATAATGAACAAGTACAGAATTAAGTACTTTAGAATTTTCATGGTCAGATTTACAATGTGAACTGTAATTTGAAATGAAGATTGTATAAAAACCCTATATTAAACATTTATTTTTCTGAATATGAACAAATGATTCAACATTATCCTTTAATATTTTGATATTGCTGTATACAAAAAAATATTAAATCATGTAAAATAAGTATTATTTTTTGGTATTAATGCTGAACACTGAACAAATTTTATTCTTTCGACATGAGTTTAAAAAAAAACAACTAATTTGTTATATCAACTGTTCTGTGTAATTTGCTTTATAGGAAAACAAATGTTTATACCTATTGTAGAATATGGCATATAAATGCATTTTATTCATGTATTTTAAAAAAGGAAATGCCACATTAATCTCAATTTAGTTTTGTCTATGTGTTGCGTTAGGGTAAATCAACTTTTGGTTGAAAGACTATGTAAATACTACTAACTATCATGGTCTGAGTGAGCCTATAGTTTTCTTAACATTGTGTTATAAATCCTAATTTATCAATAAATTTTATAGATAGATATTAGTGTGGCAATTACATGAAATGTTTGTACAGATACAATGTGTCATATTTCAAGGCCAATTTTGATATAAGTATTGATACCAGAATTAAACATAGAAAAGCTGGTTGTTTTATAGATCATGATATAAAATCAAGCCTTTATAATAATTACTGTTAACAGAAACCATGCAGAATTGTATCCCAAGGAAAACTACTGCCATTGCAAGCTTGTATATGTTCCAAGAAAGAAAGATATGGTCAGAAATAATACGATTTAAATTCAATCCCTTTGTTTTATTAATAATGAATACAAAGTGACAATTCATGTAATGAGTTGAAAGGCTTAAAACATATAAAAATATTGTCCCACTTTGCATTTTTAACATATATGTAAAAAAATCCATAAAACCTATTAGTTTATAAAAATAAATATATGTATAAATATTTGTGTATGTTTATATCCCTATAAATTAATTCACATTATAAATACATACATACAATAATTAAAACTTAACCCTTTTGACTCGGATGCCGCCGCTCCGGCGCCAAAATACATATAAATTCCGGAATTCGCGAGTGGAAAGGGTTAAATACAAGAAAATATTTTCTAAAGGAACTTACGGAGTTCCCTTTTGGTCAATTGTACTATAAGTTCACGCATTACAACTGCATACCAGTATCTAACTGCAACATTTGCTTCAGCAATTCATATGCTGAAAACGAAACGGCAACCATTGGGATAGCTCTTAGATAGTTAATACTCATTCCTCTATAAAGACCTCGAATGATACCATTTTCTTGGTATATCAATGATAGAGTCTGGAACATACCCATGCTGTGGAATAACAAGTCATGCAAATTAATAACATTTAATAGGCAAAAGATTCTGACCATGCTATTATTCAAGTTGAGAATGTTGTGCTGGTCACAACTTATAGTGCATTGTATACATGCTTCTTTCCTTGCAATGTGTTACGTTGTTTTCTTATGAAAACACTCTTTCAAAATTAATTATGAAAAAGCTATTATAGTGAGTTCAGGGATAAATGATGTAATTGTTTGGTTTGGTTCATTTTTATAATAATTAAAATATGTATTTGAATAAATAGTATATTGTAATAGGTACAACATTGTATACTGTATAAATAAAACATTGCAAGCTTATTTGAACGATTTTATTTTTGTAGGCATGAAGTAGAGTTTCAAAGTGTCCTGAATAAATTTTAATAAAACTTGAATATAAAAAACAAGTGTTAATTCAATTAATCCACAATTAAATATACGATTCACAAATAAAGTATTAATAAAATTTCGTTATATGTGTGTGCTTGAGAGTAAAATTAAAAAAAGTTGTTAATATAAAAATTGATTTATACCGACCTAATGAATAGGAAAATGCACTGAAATTATGCACTAAATGGATGTGCATAATTTTATCAAAAAGATTTGATTATTAATATAATGATTGATAAATAAATTTAGGACCATTATTTTATTTTAAAATTACTTTGATAATAATAACCTTTTAAACTAGATTTTCTTACCAATAATTTTATATATTTCAAATAGATTATGCTACTCGAAATAAATCTTCTTTATTTTAAATAAAAATAGCAGATATAAGGAGCCAAAGTTAAGGTCTGGTATAGATGTTAAACTATTTGGCGCGAGCATAAGAAGGTTAATTGTATTCCATAAATAAGTTGTTGAGAAACGTAAACTTCATTGTCCCTGTAAACCATCCTGCTATCACACTATATTGTTCAAATCGACAAAAATTAGTATCACACGACTTTTCTCTAACTCGTATTTTGAAAAGTAAGCACAGTCTAGTTTGACAACGAAAAATAATCGATCCAAATTATAATTTAAATTTTTCGCACTGTTATTTTTGTAGAAAAAGTGAAATTGCTTTATATTTAAACGCTGATCTTGCATATAAGCGAAAAAAGTTTACTCTCAAAGTTTCCATAGTATATTGTCAAGACACTATTACGATAATATTAATACGTTGAGCCCGGCGTCGGTCCTTGGGAACAAAATCCAACTTACCATATGACCAGCATCGGGCCCAAGGACCTGGCACTAGATATTCTGTTTGGAAAGTCCGTAAAATCGACAGTATTGAAGTTAAAAATAAATTCAGTCGTAATGGAAGTGCGATTAAATATAATTTTATTAAAATTTATTGAAACATCCTAAACAAAAATATGGCACATAATAAACGTTGCTGACCATTCGTCACTGCCGGTTGAACGGAAAAGTCAGCAAACTCGACGCCGGACTCGACGTGTTAACTATCAAGCATGTGAAATTATATATTGATATACTACCAATGACCCACCTTCTACAAAGAGCAGTATACCATCACCAGCAATAGATCATGAACATTTAGATAGAAGAGCATGAAACAAATAGACAACATTAATTTAAAATATTATTTGCAGTTTCATGAAATAAACCAATTTACGAAATTTTTACTAAGTAGTTAATAGATGAAAACAAATTATGTAATGATTGCAGTTAGTATAAATACAACTACAAAGTAAGTAGAGTTATACACGATAGTATATTACACGCGAGTATAATAATTTTCATTTTTTACATTATATTTTAAACTTGTACGTACATTGAAGTGGTCGATTTACTTTTTTAAATTTATAAAAAATATAGGCAAATGGTACTAATTGTTAAATAACAACCAATTTTTGATTTTTCTACAAAATGTATTAATTTCAAAGTACAAAATCACATTGAAATTTCATGCCATTGCCGTTATAATGGTAATTAAGTAAAAAAACGTCTCTCCCAAAGTTCTAAAACAATCTTAGCTTCAATAAACGTACTTTTCGAAAGCTGAATAAAATTATGCGTATATCAAAAAACAAAATATTAGGAAATTCAGAACAAATGAACTAGCATATTATATTAGTGTTTTGTTGCAAGTGGCTCACACAGAAAGAACTAAAAAAACGGTAAAAAATCAATATAACAGATTAATTAAAATTCTCAATAGTTCTTTGTCAAACATTATTCGCAATTGTTTTATACAAAATTCAATTCAAATGTTGTCTGAATTGATTAACGTAACACATTCAAAAACATTAACCATGTAAACATGATTGAAACGGAGTTTTTTTAATAAACTCAGAAATAAAACTCAAATGTATCAGTTCAGTTATGTTAGTGCAGATAAGATGTATGTAGCCATTATATAGCATATACGGGTGCCCAGAATCGAAATGGGGTGATATATTATATGAAAAAAAAATATTAAAAAAAATCACGAGTTTGAAAATTATGATATTTAACACCTTAAAGACCGCATTGCCACCGGTGGCACACAACGGTGGGTTATCTAGATTAGACAATTTTTGGTTCAGTCCCCACGGGTAAAGCACGACTTTTGATGCGCTCTTCTATGTGTTAAAGCGCAACCTAGACCACTATTCGGTTAATTTGGTCAATGAATATCTACTTTGATCATTTAACCTTTGGATCCGTAACCGTAGATAACATTTTTACTCCAACTTTTCAAGAAATACGACTTCTTGTTTAATTATACTTTTAAAATTTTAAAGCCCTCCTTTAAAAAAATGTACTAAAGTGTACTTGCGCATCAAACCAAATCAAAAGTTGGCGCATTTAATCAGAATTATAAAAATGGTAAAATACTTGATAGTTTTATAATAAAAAGTTTCGAGTAAAAATAACATGATTTTTGCAAATGCATTTCTTTCACAATCAGTTCACCCCGTTTATTCGGCTTGATGTTGAGTTCTGGGACACCTAATATGTATATATGTGTGTGAGTGTATGAATGCACAATTTGTTGTGCACCATGTCACTAGTAGCTACGATGATATATATATACAAATACAAAAATATAAATACATATATACAAAAATATATACATATATGAATACACATATATACATAAATATATATTAAAAGGTAGAGTCTTGGATTTGTAAATATTATGTAAAGCTTATATATATAGAAGTTGATGAATGCGATCAACTTACCCAAATTTAGCAGTTTCTGGAGTCATCATTGCTAATTGCATTCGTCTCCTCGTTACATCAAGAGGATATGATATTGATTGTGCTACGGCACCAGCAAATCCTCCGCACAACAATTTGGCTGGAATTGTTAACACCAAACCTCCTACAAATATTTGGCATATTATAATAATAATATTAGATTATTAAATATGCAAATACATGAACACAATTTATAGATAGAATATAAAACAAAACACTATACAGAAACAAACAAATTACTATCGATACAATCGACCCGCAAATTATAAAATTGATCGAATAACTGCAAATCAATATATACTTTTTAAATATATGTAAAGTGAAATAGCAAACTAAATCTCACTTTTATATATATTTTTATGAATATGTATATCACACACACATTATATATACATATAATAGCTGGAACGGCAAACGTTATTTAGCCATAAAAAATATTTTTATAAAATTTTTAGTACAAAAAATAACTGTGTACTGTGTGTGCACATCGGCGACTATTTGTACGATGGCATAATCCTCCGAATCTTTGATTTTGCAAGAATTGAACAAACAATCATTTGCGCATCTAGCTTTATCAAAGTTCATCTTTCCATCGCCAATATCTAAGAATTGTTTTAAAAAGTTTCAATGGTTAGAGCGGATAAATTAAATTCATAAGCTCAGAAAAATCTCGATTGAAATTGAGTGACACAGTCACAAAAGAGACGGTAATTGAAATAAGGATTTGTTGTAGGAGAATGAAAATTTGGAGTTGCATTTTTCAATTTTGCATTATAAAAAATTAAAATTAAAAGAAAATTGGTCATAAATTAAATAAAGATGTTATAGGCAGTTACAAAAATAAAATAATGATAAATTAAAGCTAAATTTAAGCCGTTCCATAAGTTTATGATAGTCAATCAAAATTTAGTGAAAAATATTTATTGATGCAATAAAACATTATTCGATTGCTAAAATAACTATTACGATAAGGGTTGGTGTAGAAAGGTGAAAATGTAGGGGTGTATGTATTTTTTGATTACAAATTATAAAAAAAATAAAATTAAAAAATGTACCCTTACCGCTTGCGGCTTCCAACTCACGACCCCGTTTCATATTGACCGACCGCTTACATTGACGTAATTGTACTATGAAGTTTGATTTTCATATAAAATTCGATTGAAAAAAAAAATATGTCCAGTTATAATAATGACCGACATGATTTTACATGATGTGGCATAGTGCGAAAGCAATTGCTATGTCTTTGTGCACAACAGCACCAGGAACTGTTTTACAATAAAATGAAGTAACGAAATCAAACGAATATTATTACTTACATTAAAGTAACATATTTGTATGTACATGGGTGGGTACAGCGGAGCTTAAAGGTCCACTACAGACATCTCAAAAACAAATAAAATTAGAATTTTTTAACAACAATTTGAGAGTAGATAGCAAAAGATGTATAAACAGCCATCACCTTGAATCTTACGACTTCGGTATCAGGAGATAGACGGCAATGTTTAAAAATCCATAACAAAAGTTATTTCTTTCATTGTTTACTTTACGAGACCTTAATATAATTTTAAGTACACGTAATTTAATCTTCTATATATATATAAATAAGTCGGTTTTTCCTTCCTGACGAAATAACTGCAGAACGCACGAACCGATTTCGACAATTTTGCATTCGTTGGAAAGGTCTCGGGCTCCGCAAGGTTTATAGCTAAGAAAATTAGTGGTGCATGGCATCGTGCCTTAATGCAAATTGCTAGAACTGCACGCACCGTAATTAAAAATTCGAGTAATGAAAATAATCAACAATTGTTTAAAATAATTTCAAATAGATCTACATATATATATATATATATATATATATATATATATATATATATGAATAAGTCGGTTTTTCCTTCTTGACGATATAACTCCAGAACGCACAAACCGATTTCGACAATTTTGAATTCGTTGGAAAAGCCTCGGGCTCCGCAAGGTTTATTGCTAAGAAAATTACTTGTGCATGGAATCGTGCCTTAATGCAAGCTTAACGCACCGTAATTAAAAATTTGAGTAATTACAATAGTGAGAATTATCAGGATTATGCTTGGTTAAGTCAACGATCAATTCTTGCCGCAAATAATAATGGTGTACACGCACTGAATTTCACCATTCAATCAAAAATTGCTGGCGATTTGGTGACATACCAATGATTCCGACTGGTCTTCCGTTTGACTTCAAACGATTGCAATTTCCAGTTCGCCTTGCGTTCGCAATAACAAGGCCAATCGCTTAGTGTTTGCGGGATAAATTTCAAATAGATTATTTATAAAATCATTGTTTTTCCCATGGGCAGTTATACGTTGCCTGTTCACGAGTTGGAAATCCATCCGCTTTGTTTGTGTTAACGTCAGACCAAAAAACAAAAAATATGGTTTACCAAAGAGCACTTCAATAAAACGGATAATTTGCGGATTCACTTTTATTTACTTTGATAAGTTCAACTAAAAAACACTTCATTTTTGTAATCGAAAGAAAATCATTACTGTTGTATAATAAAATCACATTTTTCCTTTTCAAATATAAAGCAAACAAAAAATTGTGGCGAAACGGAGTTCGTCGGGTTTGCTAGTTGTTTTATAAAATGTATTAAGCTTATACGTGGGTAGAGTAAAATGGACCAACTGAAGACTCCGGCAAAGGTGCAAACAATAAAAAAAATAGTGAATAAAAAAGTAAAGTAAGTTAAAACAAGCATTTTTACAAGAGATAAATTAAATAAATAGTTATTCTGATGAATATTTCTGACAAAAAACCATATCAATGTAATATACAGTGTTATCTTTGCAAAAGACTAAGTACCCATAAAATTTATATTTTGCATTATATGAATAATGTAGCTATTATTTTGTAAAGACACTGGGTCTGTTCGCCACTTGGATGTTCCATTTTACCCCGCCTATGGGGTAGAAAGGGCCAGATGACAAATTATAGAGAAATAGTAAAAAAAGACATTTTTATATAAAATAGTTTTTCATCAGTATGCTTTGTATGACGACCGCTTAGTATAACGAGATTTCGGCGTCCCTTCGATGTCATGCTAAGCGGATTCTACTATATATATGAGAGTGGGTTGAAAAGTTTTGACCTCAACATGAAAAAGGGGCCACTCGTCAATAAAAACTGGTGAATGAAGTTGTACATTTTTTAAGGGTTGAGTAGGGGTTTTAAGGGCTTTTAAGAAAATTGAGTATTGAGCTGTTATTAAATATTTGTTTTTAAATATAAGACAAAACGGATACGCAAATAAAATATGAATTGAATTCTGTGTATCATTACGCTGCACCATCATTTGCCACAATAAAATTTTTATGAACACAAACCCAGCAGAAAATTAAAAAGTAAATATAAAATAATACATTAAAGCAATAATAATGCTATTTATTCAGAAAATTCAAATTCATTTAACTCGATGAATAAATTTTTTTTTTTAAATAGTCCTATAGCATGTATTTGCATTTGAACAATAGTAATAAATATTGTAGTATAAATATATTGTAATTTTTATTTTAACAACATTTAGTTTGCCTGTATGTTCGTTAAGGCAAGTTGCATGAATAAAATTTTCAACTGTTCATTTCAAACACAAAATCTTAGTTTTCATAAAAAAAATGGTTACAAATTAATATCTTTCAAACAAACTTATAATATTTATAATGTGCATTATAAATATTAATGCATCTTGAGATAAAGAGGACTGCGTAGCTAAGGCTAAATTGTGGTGCATTATTCGAAACATTGATGATTTTTTATAATGCAACTGTTCATCTTAAGACTTATAAAATTGAAGTATATTAATATCGATCCAAAACTTATCATCACACAGAGATTTATCAAAAACGTCAATTGCTTTTTTTTAACAATTATGAAGAAACCGATTAGGTCCTATCGATCTTTTCCAAAAACCAATCAGCAAGATTCTCAAATGATATCTTTTGAACAGTTTTTAAATATTCAAAATCAGTTGAGAATTCTTTTGAAAAATACGTTGACTAGAAAATCTCTACTTTTCTGCAAATTCTGAATAAATGACTCAGACGATCACCTTGCAAAAATAATCAATGCTAGTTCTTGTCAAGTTTAATTGAATGATTTTAAAATTTTTAAATCGGTGGAGCAGTTTTTGCAAACGTAGATGAAATGTCAACAATTGACTCACATACACATACTCTTTCCAAACTTGGAGTTAAATGATTCAAAATGATGTTGAGAAAAGATAAAATTAGCATTAAAATTAGATGATAATTGACAATTTTGCATGCAAAACAATAACAGTATCTGATAATTTGAAAAATAGTTAAAAATGATACAGTTCTTTAATATTTATAAAAATGTTATAATATGACCTGTATTCCTCTCCAGCTGATTACATGCAAAATGTGGTGTATATTTCATACAAAAATATTTTAGAGTTTCAAAACAATAAAAGGAAAAGCCAGCATACGGCACCATTCCCATCATTGTAGGGACAAAACCTCTATAGAGAGCTCTCATACCACCTTCCTACAATGAAAAAAATATGTAAAGCTATGTTACACGAAATTATAGCTAAATCTGTGATAACAAACTTACATGTTTGAACATAGTAACAGCAGTATTTATAATTCCAGTATATTTATGTTCACCTGTCACTTGAAATGCAAGTCGTGCTCGTATTGTATCTAATGGATAAGTGAAAGTCACTGCAGTAACACCAGCACAAGCGCCAGCTACAAATTTATCTCCATTCTTAATATACTTATTCGGGCCTAGTACTGATGATAAGTACTTTTTATAAATCTCAAATGCTGTAAATTGTGTAGCAGCATATGGAAAAATTCTAACCATTTGAGCACCATTGCCTTTGTACAGAGCAAATACAGATTCTTTATGAACAATATGTCTTAAACCACTAAAAACTCCTAAGTGTTTGTAGTGCTTAGAGTGAGCTTGTAATAAAATTTTAATGCGATCCAATGGTGCAACAGTTGTTTTGCTGCACATTCCAGCAATACCTATAAGGTTGTTGACATTCAATTTATTCAAACAGTATTACTTTTGTGTGGCAATTATTATTAATTACTTATATAATAAATCAAACAAAATATCAAAATATATAAACATTTTTCAGATTTACCTCCTGCTAAAAATGACTTCAGAACAAATTCATAGTTTTTTGCATTAGTGGTTTCTAATGCCATTTTGGATTATGCTTTGCACTTAAAAACTGTATGAATTAATGATAAATTAAATGCAAAATACCACTTCTAACACATTATTGCAATAATTATAAATTCACTGAATGCATATAAGTTAACTAAATATAAATTGATATAGTATTAATATGCATCATTGTTGTATGCAGAAAGTTCGTCTCACAATATTTTAGTACATTATGCGGCCTTCGACCTTATTATTGAATAAGAAAACCTACTAACCTCCTTACAACTAAAAGAAAGTGCTCGGCAACATACCTAAACATAACCGCTCATCCGTTATCATCACAAACGTCAAAGTGACAATGGAAAACATTGCCAGATCGGAAATGTTGACAATGGGCCAGAGTGAGTAGAGCAGCAACAGTCAACACAGATGAGGCGATATGATAACGCCAACATTCAAGCGCTAATTTCAAAATCAGGGAACGATGGGAACGATGTCCTCAACTCACAATCGGTCAATGATAATATCAGTTCATTTTGCATATTCTTTAGAATATTCAAATGCGAAATCGAATAATGCGATACACTGGCGATACACTACACAATAAAAAAAAAAAGAAAAACATATGCTAACATTAAATATTGTAAATGAATATTAAAAATCACCTCAATATTTCAGAACTTCCAATATTTCACAAAATTATATTTCATTGAAATAACTTATTACAGTGACAACAAAAAAGAATTTTGAATTTATTACAAAAGCACATATAGAAAAATAATCACTGCAAAGTTAAACAAAGTTAATATTTATAAAATAAAGCAATAAACCAATTGTCCTTAATTGCTAAAGTTAGTGAAGCTAAAGAAGTAATTGTGACTAAAATCACTTGCTAAAATAAATTGAAAAATACTTTGGCCAAAATATAAAGTAGAAATAACTATCAAAACAATTGGAATATGTACAATCTACCATATTTCTATATTTTATATTAATTACATTTTAATATAGTTTAATTCATTAAAAAACTATAAAACACTAATATTTGTAAATATAAATAATTAACACGAGCAGTTAAATTACAAATGCATTATCAATTTTATAAATCGAGAAGATTTTTTTAATAACTTTAATACACAGAATGTTACTAATAATCTGCTAGAAGTTTAGAAGTTTTCAAATACTATAAAATGCAAATAAAAAAATAAATGCTTATTGTTTTAGTAATTAAATTTATTCAATTTTTTTATATATATATATTTATATTTATAATGAAAATTACATTCTGTGATTTAAAATCTATAAAAAAAAAATCTATAAACAAAAACTCGTTTTGTCTAAACTTTGCTGCATCAGAAAGAACAAGTAATGTACAAATAACAAACTACAGTTATAGGTTATGAAAAGCGCAGATGTAATTTTCATAGTTATGCCATCGTTTTTATTTATCTAAAATTGGATGTTGGGCTTTTATTAAAAACAAAACAGGAAATATACTGTGTAAGCCAAATTCTCAATGATGTTTAGAAGTTGGCCCCACTCCAAGTTTTGAGAACAAGAGTAATTACTGTGGAAGGGCAAACAAATCTGACGGTGTACCAGATGGAGGTGAAACAATTGGTGGTGTGGAATCACCTGCAAAAGATAATCAAATCAGTAAATTTATTGCAATACAGCAAGCAATGCCAATAAAATATAATTGTAACAGCAGATTTGTGAATAGAGGAAAATGCCATGCAAGTGAGCATAGTTAACACAAAAAATTTAAAAATAAATTGTAAAAAAATTGTTGTAAAATAAATTCCTTCAAACAACTTGAAGTGAACTTCAACAATGGCATTTAATTCATAAATGAAGTTTATTTTAGAAATCCCAAAAATATATCCACACATTAATCTGCAGGGGTAAGGAAGTGAGCGTGCTATTGCATACCTGGCGTGCTACTCACCTACAGGCCCCCCACAGCCTGCAATGGGAGCAGGTGATGATGAAACAATCGGCTGTCGGCCTTGTTCTTTAACTGTTGGATCTGTAATTTAATATATAATTTAATTTCAGAACAGATAATTGTTGTCCAAGACAATATATTATTTGTACATGTATAAATCTATAAATAAATAATATATTATAGTGCAAAAAAATGATAAGCTTGAAGATCAACATTCTAAATGAATAATTAAGGATCCATAATTTGAATTATTTTGCAGAATATATTCTTTTAACTCACAAAAATATGGATGATCCATTGCTTCCCTTGCTGTAAGTCTCTCATAATGATCATAACGTAGTAGTTTATCAAGAAAATCAAGCGATTCAGGTGAAACCAGGTGTTGATTTTCAGAATGTACAAATCGCTCCCATCGTTTTCTTGAATGTCTAAACATTTATTAGGTAAATTATTAGTGTCTCATAAATCTAAGAGAATAATAATCATACACATTTACCTTCCCAATATGTCGTTAAATCTGGGATCTAAATCTATGTGATATTTATCCAAGTATTCATATAACTCTTCGGTACCCAGTACTTTTGCGATCCGAACCAACTGATCATAATTATCATGACCATGAAAAAACGGTTCTTTCCTGAATATCATCGATGCCAACATGCAGCCAAGTGACCACATATCTAGTGAATAATCATACATCTGATAGTCCACTAGCAATTCAGGTCCCTTTCAAATAGAACGAGAAATTGAACTATACGTATACAATATATTTTTGTACATTGAGCTGGACAATACCTTAAAATATCTACTGGCTACACGCACATTGTACTCTTGATTAGGATGATAAAATTCTGCCAAACCCCAGTCTATTAACCGAAGTTTTCGATTTTCATGATCTATCATGACATTATGAGGTTTGACATCCCTATGCATTATTCCCATACTGTGGCAGTAATCCAGAGCTTTTAATAACTCAAACAAGTAATACCTAAAAAATATTCAAATCTCAATTCTGCCTAATAAATATTCATTTCATAATTTAAATTCTTTTATACCTAATATCGAGATCAGTTAAAGTCTGGTATAATTGTTTAAAATCTATGTTATTAACGTGCTCAAAAATTAAAGCAGGTGTGCGTGAAACTGGATCCTTCAGAACGGCTTGTAAAGTAATTATATTAGTTCCCCCACGTAGATTCTCTAAAATCTTGATTTCTCGTTTGATTTTCTTCTTTTTGACGGGCTGAAAGAAAAAAGAGTATGGGATTATTCTATTCCAAGAATTCAGAAAAGAAGTTAAGACATTTTAATAATTTGATAAGTAATTATGTTTTTGGAATAATAACAATAGGTAATATTCTATTTACTCATCAGCTACAAGTTAATACAACTATTTGAAAAAATGTTTCTTATGAAACTAATATATTTATAGAGAATAAATGCTTGTACATACTTCAAATGTTTCCCTCCCTTTAAAACTAATGCCATTAAAAATGTTTTGGTATCAATTATAATATATACAATACCACCTAAATAATTATTTGCTTGCTTTATTATGTTTACTAATAGTAAAGTATGTTTTTAAATGTTTTCATATTTCCACTTGAAGTTTTTATTCAAATGAAATCTTTAACTAATACATCAAAATATGCTGTTACTTTTATAATATTCTTCTCTGATTAATTATATGGAGATTAACAAGAGGCCGTGGCGAAATTATTTATAAGCATCATACAATATACTGAAATAAACTAACACTTGACTATAAACAATACTCACCTTTAATATTTTCACTACACATTTCTCATTATTCACAATGTTAATAGCTTCAAAAACTTCACTATATTTTCCACGACCAAGTTTCCTAACAAGTTGATAATCATCTTGTTGACCCCAATCCACTACATAGCTTTCATAATCCCAATATTCCCTCAACTTTCGTGAGTTAACATCAGCATAGACACGTGCTCTGCTCGCCAAAGCCATGTCTGAACGTTGGCCCGCGTTGCAGCTCGTACTCAAACAAGCTTTGCGGGGCTCAAACAAAGTAATGCGATATGCATAAGACTGCCAGAAGTGGCCTAAAAGATAATTAGCAATAAGTAATATTAATTTAAATGACAGATTAATGTACTTGCATAAACCACAGTAATAAAAATTTAAACATCTATATACAATACTAGCATCAATGTATTAGCATTAGAACTGGTAGGTATATTCTAGATAAATAACATTTCTGCAATTGACTATGAGAAAAGATTACATGGACAAAAAATGCTTTAAATATGCGAAAAATAAATAATCGAAATATTATTAGTACAAGTTAAAAATAAATAACATACATTGCTTTCAATTTAATTCATTACTTTTTTAGATATATTTTAACGTGATTTAAAATATGTATGAACATGATTAAGGTTAGGTTTATCACATAAATCACTTCTTTACACAAAAAATATAAAATTATATCATTTTGCACAATATTTATAAAAATAGTTAGCACTTTTTTCCATAAAACGTAATAGTTTGAACAGAAATTTCATAAATTGCTGTTTTAATAAAATTGCTCACAGCTAAACTTACGGCTGATTCCAACGTTAACAGAATTCGTTTTAGATAAACGTGAATCTACTATTCGTCCTAATACTTTCGAATTGAATCGAACAAATAGCACTATTAAAAATATACACATAGGAACATAAAACTATTTCAATACTAATCCAAGTATATGACTTTGTGGCTAAAGATTGAATACTTCACACGCCATTATACTTTAGAACCGTCTGTTCGAGATTGCCATGCCCATTTTGATATTATATTTTTCCATACCTAAAACATTCCTGGGCAAAATCCTGGATCTCTGAATTATTTAACAAGTTCCAAAATTTAATTTGCACAAAAAACTTAGCTTCTAGCGCAGTTTATATAAAAGATCGTGCAATTTGAAATAAACGAGAGCCGGCTTCTAATATTCTAAAAAGCAAGATGGATGAACACATCCCGCCACGGACAACTGGAGAAACAAAGAGGTTTTCCGTAAATTTTGTAGCGCGAACGGACAAGAGTAAGCGATAGATGGCGCTGATCATCGCAAACAATAACGATATTTTGACTTCGCTCTTACATACACATATGAAACTTAACGAATAGAATCATTTCATTTTAGCGCCAATTTATATATTTTTATGCACACTAATTAAAATACATACCTGAATGTTCATCACGATCTATGATCGAATATATTTTTGATATATTCATTTTTAAATATTACAAGAAATAACTAGAGGATCGATCCTTAATTCACAATAAATCTTATTTTTTATATTAATCACTTGATGCTATTTTGTTTTTTTTTGTGTGAAGTGAGGTCAAAGGATAAGCAGTTTTTCTTTTGTTTTTAATTGACACATTAATATTGTAAAAATCATAATACAAAGTAGAAACAAGATAAAAATTAAAAAAATACATATTTAAAAAAAAAATAAAAATTCTATTTTTTTTAAATATTGCAAAAATCACCAAATCGTACTTTTAAACAATTATATGATAAATATCCACTTACAAGTACAAATTGATAAGCTTTTTGAAATAATAATCTATTCAACAATATAATACTATAACTAGCTGTAAGTGGAATTCTGTCTTAAGGCAATTAAGGCATCGTGCCTTAAGGCAAATTGCTGAAACTTCCCGTACCAAAAATTATTTTTTTTTAAAAACGATTAACATTTTTGAAAAAAATTTACTTCGAAAAAATAAGATGGACAAATTGGACAAAAAATTACTTTTTTTTGAAAAAAAATTTTTTAAAAAAAAAAAAAAATTTAAATTTCTTTTTTTTTTGAAAAAAAAAATGTTTTCTTTATTTTGACATATTTTGGAAGATCTGACCTTTTTTCAAAGCAATCGTACTGCTTTAACTGCATAAAGACGAAATATCAAAGCGCGTAAGCGCCGCGTCGCCGTCTAACGCGTAAACATTGGTACGGAACCCATAGGAATGTAAACAAAATTCATACTTATTGTTAAAATCTCTATAAAATATCTGATAATTTGATGTGCATATGTCTAATGATCATTTTTGACCGCCAAATGGCATTTTTTTTTACTTTTTTCATTAGATCTCCGAAACCGCTAGACCTGCCTTTATGAAAATTTGGTCAATTCTTCATCTTGTCAATACAAGTAAAACGTTTTTTGACTTATTCAAATTGGACACTCCGTTCTCTTAAAAACTGAGTTACCGTTTTCGGCACTTTTTGCCCCGTATCTTTGGAACGGCTAGACCTGTCTTTGCCAAAAACTAATCAGCACGTCTCCTTATCAATACGAATCGAATGTTTTTTGAATTATTCAAATCGGTTGATCCGTGTTCCCGAAATCGTCGACGAAAATTTGTATCCGCACATACATACACACACGCACATACATACATACATACACACACACACACACACACACACACACATACATCCATTTTTTCTAAGGTATGCCAAAATGTTCAGAAACCTCTGAAACGCAAAGATATATAAAAATTTTCATTTTCGATTTTTTTGCGATTACTATAACTATCCCTACGGGAAGTTAAAAAGCATTGTTATGCTCACATCCCTAGATATAGATGCAAAAAGGCTAAAAATGATCGCTTTAGATAAAAAAATTTAAGATAATATATAAATAAAGGGGTGAGAAGTATTCGCGATAGCAAAAATCGAAACAATTCTTAAGCGAGACAGTCTCGTTCGAAGTGAAAACCGAAAATTTGTATATGGCGAGAGCCGAAACACATTCGGCGCTTAAGTTCGATATGCTTAAGTGGTTAATTGAAACTATTACTAAAGTAACTAAATGTAAAAAACTTACATTATTTACTCACTTTTACACTATTTACTTTATTCACAATGAGAAAATATTTTCTGCTATTCAAAATATTTCAACGAGGATAAATTAGCTATGAGATGAAATTGAAAAGCATCAAAGACTTGAATTCATTCTTTGATTCTTTTAATAAAAACGTCTAAAAATAACTAAATTAATTTCAATTGAATTGACTAAACTTAAATTGTACTTACCTTTAGGAATGCATTCAAGCTTTCTCATAACCAAATAAGAAAATGCATATGCTAATATACATTTTCACTAAGTGAAACTCTTCTTTCTATAATAATAAAGCGCGCCTAAAATAATAAAAGGTTAATTGATATATAATATAACAAATAAATAATAGTTTATGTGCAACAATTACTTACAATAAAGATCCGTAGTAATTACAATCGCTCGATTTTTTTTTTATTGAATGAAGTGATTTTGAGTAATCAATTTAGTATAAAATTGCATTATAAAAGTATTACCCGATCGATTGTAATTAAATTAAAATCAGAAATATTTTTGTACTGATTAATAATTATAACATAAAAAACTTTTATATTATAAAAAGTATTATTCTATTGTAATTATATTCGAATCAGAATAATTTTCGTATTGATTAATGTTTATAAACATAAAAATATATTATTAAAAGTTTTACCCGATTGTAATTATATTTAAATCAGAATAATTTTTGTACTGATGTTTATGTACATATTAACTAAAATTATTAATATATAATAGTAATAATAACTAGTTGGTATTGGTATTTTGCTTTGAGGCAAGTTACATGAACTTCCCGATATGTGTAAATAATCGATTTAATCAATAAAATATAAATTAATTTATGAGTAAAGTATTTCGAGTAGATGTATCAAGGTGCGTCCACACCTAACGAACGAACACGAACGAACATGTCGAACAAGAAAATACAAAGAAGAACGAACAGGAACACAAACGAACGCAAAAAATTCCAAACGAACTTGAACAAGCGCTTAAAAGCAGTGAGCGCTTGAATTTTCGTTGTTCGCAGATGTTCCGTGAAACGTCAGTTTTATTATTGATATGGATGTAAGCTTTAATCATACGGCATTTTCACTGGTTTTTGTGTGATTTTTGTTCGTGTATATTTTGTAAATATACTGTAAATAAATTATTCAATTAATTTCACTCAGTTTTTGTATTTAATATTTATATTTTGAGTCGTTTTCTTTTCTCAGCATTCATATTTGGAGCAAGCTGAACATTCCAGGCTTGAGCTAACTATACTCAATTTTCATACTCTCATCCTCAACATATATGTTGAATGTCTATGTATGATAACAAGTTTGATATTTACTTGTAAAGACTGCAATCATACTCTTCTTTTATCTATGACTGCAATTTCTTCTTTACTGCAGCTTCTGACATCCCAAACGTTTTGCCTACACTTTCCCAAGCATCGTTTTTTTTTCTAATAATTTTATAAAAAGGGTCTTTAGTCTCCCATATTATAGGAAACTTTTCTATTTCATTTATGAATGATGAAATTACGTCATTTGACCATTCCATAATTTATTCAAAATTTTCAAACTGTACACAATAATTAAAAGTAAATATTATTAAAATTTTCAAACATTAAAATTAATAACATTATTATTAAATTTAAAAAAATTATTATTAAATTATTAAAATTATTAAAACAAAAATGTTCGTTTGCGTTCGTTGAGACGTCCACACTGCACATACGAGTTCAAACATGAACGAACAATTCCCTTTGATGTACCGACAAGTTGCGGAACATTGTTCGCCATGTTTGTTTATGTTCGTTCGTGATCGTCGTGGCGTCCACACTATGCTGTTGCCGTTCGTTCTGGTACGTTTTTTTATGTTCGTTCGTGTTCGTTCGTTAGGTGTGGACGCACCTTCACACATCATTGAAAACGAACGAACACTCTATTATCGCTATACCAAGTAAATCGTCTAATTTTAATTCTAACAAACGTCAAAAAAAACTATTCATTTTCTCAAACTTTGATGAATTTTTAATATTAAACGACTTGTCGTAGGGCTGTAATATTTCAGCAAGTTTTATAAGACCATAATATATATCGCCAAAAACATTTCTATAAAAACCGGCTTAAATTTTTTTTCAACAGTTAATTACAAAAAAACGGCTCGGTAGATTTTCATCAAAAACTAATCAGTATCATTATCAACTAATATCTTTCGAACAGTTTTTTTAAAAATAGATTTGGTAGTATGAGTTCAAATGTGGATGAAAAGTTTAACACTTTTTTCCAAATTACAAAGAAACGACTTGACCGATCGTCGCACCAAACTGAGAAACGATAATCCTCATCGAGATACATCAAATGGATTTTAAATTTCTGAAATCGGTTCAGGCGTTTTTGAGCAAACGTCGATGAAAGTTCTAATTTTTACAAATGCCAAAAAAACAATACTAATTTTTGCAAACTTTACCAATCTAATTGCCGATCTTTACCAAAAACTAATTGCATTTTCAAAATCGATTCAGAATTGCGGGCTAAAACGTAGACGAAATTTTTTTCACTTTTCTGCTATTTGCTAAAAAACGGCTTGGCTGATCGTCGCGCAAAATTGATAAACGCTAGTCCTTATCGAGATACATCGAATGGCTTTTAAATTTTTGAAATCGGTCCAGTCGTTTTTGAGAAAACGTCGATTTACGGCAAAAAATCTGTTCACATACACGCACACACACAAACACATACTTTTTCCAAATTTGGTCTCATTCGATTCAGAATGGCTTGAAACGTCGAGAAAACATAAAATCAGCGGATCGGATTTTTTGATGAAAACATAAACTTCTACGAGAAGTTAATAATAATAATAATAATAATAATAATAATGTGAAAGGGCGGATTTTTGTTACTAAATGAGTCGGACAATTTCCACTTGATGATTTGTAGGTCTTTTGATTTTTGCTTATTCCAAATAGTTTGATAATTATATAATGTAGGTATATTGTAAAAAAAATAAAATTCAGCATACAGTTCCCATTCGTAAGCAAATGAAAGTCATTACTGATGCATAATTTGCCGTTGAGTTAATTAGTATTCGGCTCTGTCATTAAACTATTGCACACACAGAAAACGTACACGTTG